ACTCGTGGTGGAAGTTGTGGTATCCCTCGCCGAGGGTGACCAGGGCGGTGATGACGTGATCACGAGGAGAGTTGCGGTCATCGAAGGGCTGGTCGCCGAGCCAGTGAGCCAGCGAGTTGACGCAGAAGGTAGCTTGTTGAACGAAGAAGATACGCAGAATACCGGCATACACGAATCCGCCGTACCAGTCACCCCAGCCAAGACCGGCAACGAGCATGGGGACGATGAGACCCATGCAGAGCACGACCTTGATGTAGTTGCGGTGCTGCCAGACAACAACGGGGTCTTCATTCAAATCGGTGATATCGGTGCGACCAATGCGCTTGGGGTTCTGCTTCATGACCATCCATCCCAAGTGGGAGTACAGCAAACCCTTACGGACGGAGTAAGGGTCCTTGTCGGTGTCGGTGTAACGGTGGTGAGCACGGTGGTCTCGTGACCACCAGCGGATGGAACCCTCAACAGCGCCGCCGCCGACCAGAGCGAGCCAGACACGCAGAGGCAAAGTGGCGGAATAAGAGCAGTGAGCCCAGAGACGATGGTATCCTGAAAAATTGAGTCAGCTCATGTTCTTCGGAGAGTTGTTTCAGTTCAATTCCGAACTTGGAACTAACTTACCAGCTGTGATTCCCAGTCCAGTGAAGAAGTAGTAGATGACTGCCCAAATGGCGGTCTTCGTCTGCAGAGGCACCCAGAGGGTCTGGATACAGCCTGTGAGGGGAACGCCAATGATGAAAGTGACATTCAGCCAGTTGACGTGCTTGTACCAGTTCTGGCGAGTCATCTGAGTATCGGCAATGTGCACCTTCTTGGTGTCTGTCGCCCGAGGGCGTGAAGCATCCGGCTTGGACGACATGATGGGGATGTGTAGAAGGTTGAATGGAATCCAGGAGGACCCAAAGGGTTTTTTATACTTGGGCCCACTTGGGACCAACGTTGGGGAGCCGGGGCACTGATCGCCAACGTATATGGGGAAAATAGGGCAAAAGACGAATCAGATGATAGCAGAGATTGACCGTCACAAGATTCCGAGGCGAAAAGAAACGGAAGAAGAGAATAATTGCGCTTATAAGCTTGCGCAGGTAGACTTTTGCGCTGACCTTTGTTCGGGAGTGGCGTGCCTCATCGCTTTCTGGCGAATGTTGGGTCCAGCCAGCCCCAACGCTTTGGTGCCTCAGGCAGTCATTGACCAATCAGAGTTTGATGGCAAATATGCTTAGGTCATCATCCTTGTCCGGGTGGATGTTACTCTGTGTAGGCCGATCGAAGGCTCTAGGGCTAATATTCAACCTCGGGATTTCTAGGGATAATCCCTGTTTGGTCCAATCATTTCGAAGATACGGAGTACGGAGTACACACACAACATGGGGGGAGTGGTCCCCCTCAGCATTCCTTACAGGGTGCAATTCAGACCTACCACGGGGGGGGGGGGTTCTCCCCTGACCCCTTCCTTCCCTGAATGGTCGAGAGAATTGGACATCCTCCATACAAATGAAGTCATTGCATGCGTGTGCAGTATACACTGTGCGACAGAATATGTGGGATACATGATTGAATCTCATCGAATGACCGAACTTTCATTCCTTGCGGATCATCCTCTCAAGATCATCCTCTTGATACATACCAAGCAGATCATGATTCCATACTGTGTGACCAAGAAGTGACAAAAGAATATCATGACAAGTGAATCTAGAATGAAAGTCACAAGTCAAGAAACGAGAGGTGATGTGTTGAAGAAGAGATGATGATATATCATGGACCATGTGTCGAGTTCCACGCCGAAAGAAATGCCAGTGGGGATTTCCGAACCTCCCGCTTAACTATTCTCTACATTTAGGTATGACCATGGGAACAAGTCAAATCAAAATCAATCACAACATCTGATTCTATACGATCGCCACAAAAGTCTCGAATATCCCTCACAGTATCTCATTGCTGATAAGGAGGTGAACCCGACATGAGGTCGGAGTCTTCCATCTTCTACACCCCTGTCCGACGGCACTCTCCGACTGTCAGATCTCAGATAAAGCACAAGATAGCAGAGAAGGTTCGATCGTTCCCGAGAGTTGTGGAGAGTAAACTACGTAGGCAAAGCTGTCAGAGATCCATATATACGGAGTACATGCTAGATCTATTTACCAATGGAGTGTCTTACATTTTACTCCATTATAACTTGTGTATCCTTGTATCCCTGTATATTTGATCAGATTTAACCATATTGGATACATACTCCGTAGATATATACACGGACATAAGTACTGAATATGGGGAAAGTACTCCGTCCACGGGTAGACTGATTTCTTATCTTTCTCCACTTAAGGATCTTCTGTATTATGATTGGTTCAATTGTTGACAGAACCACCTGGACCAGATAAGGCGGGGAATCTAACTAGATATACACAAGTCAAGTTAATACTCTTTGCTAATTGCTCATATACATAATTTGGTTTCTATCTCATTTATATTAGATTATTTGTTTGATTTGTTTGATTTGTCTGATTTGTCTGATTTGTCTGATTTGTCTGATTTATCTGATTTATCTGATTTGTCCGATAACTTAGGTTATCAATTTGATTTTTTAGTCATCTCCATCTTTCCTTTTTTACCTTGGGAATTTTAGAGTTGCCGAACTTCGGGGTTAAATTTTTTTTTTTTTTTAAATATAAACGTCTGTCCTGTTGTTTTTTTTGGGTTGAATATCTACAGTATATACACATTCAATATGGACGGTCCAGATCAGATTGGCCCCGATCATACACCCAAGCGGACAATTGGCGACAAATTCCGATATGTTGTTAAGACTTTCACTACACGGTATGTCTTCAAATATAACACATAATAGGGAGTCTTAAGCTCAAAATCAACAGAGAAGGTCTACTAGGTGACTACGACTATGGATACCTCTTTATCCCACGACTACCCTTCACAAAGCGAGCTCGCAAATCTGCCCCGTTCTTCGGTCTCGAGGATCGCGTCCCAATTGTTCTCGCATTGATTCTGGGTTTACAGCATGCGCTTGCAATGTTAGCTGGTGGTGAGTACCAGATATCATGATATATATATCTACAAAGTCTAAGAGCATCAGTGATTACACCACCCATTTTACTCGGCGGCTCAAGCGGTGCCCACTTCGGTGATGAGCTATATCAATACCTGGTTTCGACTTCCTTGATCGTCTCGGGCCTGCTGAGTGCCGTTCAAATGTTCCGATTCCATATCAAGGGAACAAAATACTATATCGGAACTGGACTACTATCAGTCGTTGGTACGAACTTCCCCTCACACAGTCTTTGAGAAAATCCCCCCGCTTCTAATGCTAATTTTTGGTTCAGGCACATCTTTCTCAACAATCACAGTCGCCCAAGGCGCTTTCGCTCAAATGTATAAATCGGGCTACTGTCCAACCCTCGAAGATGGAACCCAGCTCCCTTGTCCCAAAGGCTACGGCGCCCTCCTTGGCACCTCGTGTCTCTGCTCCCTCCTCGAAATCGGCATGTCCTTCATGAGCAGCAAGATTCTCGCCCGCGTCTTCCCCCCGCTCGTCACCGGCCCAACTGTTCTCCTGATCGGTGCTTCGCTCATCAAGTCCGCCATGCAGGACTGGGCTGGTGGCGCATCCTGTGGATTTGACCCGTCCGCCCGCGCAATGTGTCCCAGCGCCGACGCCCCGCACCCTCTACCCTGGGGAAGCCCTGAGTTCATTGGTCTTGGATTCCTGGTCTTCGTGACAATCATCATCTGTGAGCGGTGGGGTCCTCCAATCCTAAAGAGTTGCTCCGTCATTGTTGGTCTGTTGGTTGGCTCAATCGTTGCTGCTGCGTGCAATTACTTCGATGACTCTGGTATCACTGCTGCACCGGTGGCTTCTTTCCCTTGGGTCCATACCTTCCCACTGTCGGTGTACCCGCCGCTCATTCTGCCGTTGCTCGCGCTATACATCGTTATCATGATGGAGTCTATTGGTGATATCACCGCGACCTGTGATGTCTCCCGGCTCCGGGTCGAGGGTGGTACTTTCGATTCCCGAATCCAAGGTGGTGTCCTGGGTAACGGTATCACCTGTCTCTTGGCTGGCTTGATGACAATTAGCCCTATGTCTGTCTTTGCGCAGAACAACGGTGTGATTGCGCTGACAAAATGCGCTAACCGCACCGCCGGCTACTGCTGCTGTTTCTTCCTGGTTATCATGGGAATTTTCTCCAAGTTCGCCGCTGCGCTGGTTTCAATTCCCAGCGCCGTCCTCGGTGGTATGACCGCTTTCCTGTTCAGTTCGGTGGCAGTCAGTGGTCTGCGCATCATTGGGTCTGTCGATCCCACCCGTCGCAACCGGTTCATCCTCACAGCTAGTTTCTCGGTCGGAATGGGTGTCACACTCCTGCCGGACTGGTTTAGCTACTTCTTCACTTACTCGGGTGACAACCATGCCCTCGAAGGCCTGATCAATGCTGTCGATCTGGTCATGGAGAACGGATTCGCTATCTGTGCTCTTCTCGGTATCTTCCTTAACCTCTTCATTCCCGACGAGCCTGATGATATTCCTGCCATCCTTGAGTCGACCGACTCTGATGATGGCCGTGTGCAGATCAACACTCCTGAGCAGTCGCCCCCTATTAAGACCGCCTGATCTTGGAGATCATATATATATGAAGTTTGTGGGCTAGCTTTGCCATTAGCGTCGTTTTTAATACCTATATTGCAATTTAATGTTGATATTCCCTGATCTTTTCCTGCACTCTATAACTTGAGGACTATCATGAATAAAAGATGAATGAAAATAAAACTTTTTCAACTCGCTCTTGCCTACACAACTAATTTATTTCTACTTCCATACATTGATATCTGTATATCTCGTTAGTGGAATCTCCTGCCGAATCATTTTACCTTGCATTGGATTCCTGTCCTAACAACATCACCTATGGTACCGAGTACTTCGAGTGCACCCGACATCCGATCCCAAGGCATAGCTGTCACAGTAACCCCGGCTTAGAACCATTGCTATGTCAAGAGCAAACCCGTGACTTGACGACCGGACGAGGCTGCTCATTAGCACTAGCCGTTGCGCTATGCTCGTTCCCAAACTCAAAGCAATCCTTCTCTGACTCCCCGATATCACAGTGCACAAGCCCTTCGTCAATCAGTTTCCGCAGCACGACGAGGATCCACACACGACATGTCATCCCGGGAATCGAGTTGAGAGAATCATCATAGCTCCTCATAATCTCGTCCACACGCTCATGCGCTGACGGGGGAATTGTTGCAATCTGAATTATCACGCATAGGAAATTCTCGGCAAATATCCCTGTTGTAGCCTCGTGTCCCGCAATCCACCAGCCGCCGATGCCTCGTGCGTGGTACTTGTTTCCTCCTGGTGTGGAGCTGGTGCCTTTGTGGAGGTAGAAGGCCCAATGGAAGTCGTTTGGGATGGGCGGGTCGGAGCGCATATAGAGGCTGATGTGGAGGGTGCTTGGGGGAAGTTCCGCAAGGCTCTCGGCTTGCTTCTTTTTGATGTCTGCGGACTCTTGTCTTGCTTCGGTTCGAGAGATAGGCTCAGACATTTTGAGGATTAATGGAGATAATTAATGAAATAAATGGAAGAGATAAAATAGAGATGGCAACTGCCAAGGATTGACAACAAAGCTTGGAATATTATCTGACAGGGATGGCTCTTGTGGTGGCTACTACAAACAACTCGAACTAACTGGAGAAAAAGTTATGTAGTATAGAACCAAGATCTAGAGTGCTCTAGGTGCGCGTTACAAGCAGGTAGAGATCCTTAGGCCTTGGGTGAGTTCCCATGTTCAGTGGCTCATCAAACTTGATTGAACACTTGATATTCTGGGAAAGTCCAAAATCCACAGGATGTATTTCCTTTTAAGTTATGCAAGGATTCATGCGTATCTCTTCCATATTTGATAGTTATAGAGTTTACATGATGTATCGGCTGTATAGTGGTATAAAACTTGTGCAAAGTTGTGAGTTCCAGATCTCACAAATAGATTTGCCCATCGCAATGGAATGGGCATATGTTATAATTATACGATATGCTATGTGGGTGTTGGTGATGGCTACTCCATAGGCCTGTCCTACTGGGATATTAAGGTATTGGGAAAGACACTATGTGGAGCGGGACGCTTCCTATAAAGGTCATTTCATTTTGTTCTTAGACCTGAAGGCTTTTTTATTATAGTTGATATTCTTCGCCCTCTCTGGTTTTTTATATGAATTTCAGATCACTACATTGCATGTACGCCGTATGTGTACTCCGTATACTCCGTATCTACACTGGCAGTCTTGGGTGGTAATTTGTCATATGATCTCCCAACACACCGCCTCTGTTTCATGCCAGTATTATAAAATTAGCCCTGACGCTGTTGCCAGTTCCCTTTTCACCTTGGTATTCCCTACAACTCTGATTTAATATCACCCCAGACACTCATACTCACGATGAAAGATTGGTTAATACCTCGTTTCATTTCCCCTGATTTCACATGGCCAGATAACATCCGACCGGTCTTAAGTAACCGAATACCATCAACTCCTCAGCCAACGCACCCACGACTGCGTCAATTTTGGGGGTTTCTCCACATATATCTAAGACGTTTTTCTCGATCTTACTGCGGCTGAGTCGGGATACCTTATGATAACCAGATCGCCCAGCTTCCGTTTGGATTGGTTTTGAAATGGTCTGATGGCACTCGGATTGAGGAGGTGTTATCTATGCAAGTTGCACGAAGGGCAGGTCTCCCAGTTCCAAGGGTGATTTGCTATGGCGACCATCCCGATACACCTCATGCGCCTGTCTCTATTCTTATGACTCGCGTGCCCGGTGAGGAATTGGGCCGGGTCTACGAAACACTTAACGATGAAGATAAAAATTCGATTCTAGAGGAGCTTAAAAGCTATCTAGAGACTATGCGAGCTGAGTCAAGTCCGTGGGGTGGGAAAAGAATTTGCTCTCTTCAAGGAACCTCAATAAGGAGTGTCCGCGTTCCGAATCATTTTGCTGGTCCATTCGAATCGGAGGTAGACTTTAATGAGTACCTTATACTGCCCGCTTGGTCAGGTGGTTTCTCATCGGATACGAAATACAACGATGCACTCAATCGCGCCAAAACGATAAGAAGCTTGCCTCATCGTATTGTCTTTACCCACGGAGATCTAAAGCACCATAATATTGTGGTGCAAGGGGGGCAAGATCACCAGCCTTTTGGATTGGGAATCAGCGGGCTGGTACCCTGAATATTGGGACTTCACTACTGCATTGAGGTTCATGCGGGAGGACTTTTGGTGGTACAGCTTTGTGATCAAACTCGGTGGTGACTTATATTTGGCAGAGCTGGATAGTGAGAACGCCTTGGGTTCTCTGACCAGCGCTTCTTACTATTGGTAAACCTTCAAGCTATGGCTTACATGTGTAGGTATTAGCGCCTTTTGGAGTCGTGCCTTCTCTTGTTTTGCTTCAGTTAACGTTCACTGACCATACTTCGGACTACATTACGCCAAATTACGAAGTATATAGTTATGAGGCAATAGATGTATATTATTGTAATTTAAAGCCATTTCGGGATAACTACCATGTTATCACTAGCTGTCCATATTAAGATATATCACATAGCCTGGAACATCCCCAGTTTATGCCTGAATCATGGCACACGATGTATCTAATTCTAGAAATACAAATCTAACAACATACTATAATATAGGATGATACACACACTACTATCGTGTCTACACCCCCTCAACCTTCTCCCCAGGAGCCAACATCTTAATATACTGGTGTACCCCGGTCTCAAGAACTTCAACAGAATCCCCAACCTTCAACACAAACTCCTCTTTCGCAGGAACAAGCTGCATCCCCAAACATGCATTAGTCCGATCACCATCATCAATCCGCCGATATGATTTCAGCGTCCGATCCGGCTCAGACCTATGCCTGTCCCCGGAAAGAGGATCAACATTGGGCAGTCGGCACCGAACAGTCCGACAAGAAGCATGGATCTCAGTACCGCCAATAGCAAGCCGCTTCCAGTGATCTTCCTCAAAAGCAGCCGGGCCTTGGATGATAACGTTCGCGCGGAAACGGCGGATGCTTAGCCGTGGGATTGCGTAGGCGCAGCGTGCTGCTACATCCCGGTGACTGGAGATGCTGAGCAGGTGGATTGGATATGCATCTGCAAAGGCTGTGTTTGGCTGGAAGCCTAGGTCTTCTTTGTGTGGTGCGTTGCGGAAGATCTGTCGTGAATGGAGTGCACTGGCGCGGAAGAGTGTCAGGGTATTTTTTGATGGATCTGACCCTAGATATGCGTGTAATGATGCTGGGAGCAGTCTACCGTAGTCATGAGCCAGAGGCTTATCTTTCCAGATCTTGACTGGGACTAGTGGGAACTTGGAGTCCGCGGGTGGAAGTAGTGGAACTTGGAATGTCTGCTGGCCTTTGAGAAACTTGAGTGCCATGCCGACCTTGATGGGTAGAGCCTTCCATCCCACTGGCAGCATTCGTGGATACGATATCAGCATCACACCTTGCGACTTGACTTCCGGTAGGTCTGCGTCATAATCTGGGGCAGATGGGTCAGGTACCCAGATCTCTGGATGAATCAAGGCTAGGCTATTGAAGCCTGCATTACGCAGGGTACGAATGTTCCATTCGTCATTGTTGTACTCTGCAAAGACGAATTGTCTATCGAATTCAAGCCCAGTGGGTACGACATTCGAGACTTGCAGCTCGACCGCACCACAAGATTTGAGCGGGTAGCTGAACAGTGCTTTCACACGCCAGGATGGGCGACCGTGATCATCTTGATCACTGGGTAGACCCTGGCTGTACTTAGAGTCAAATTCATCGTCCAAGTTGCTCTGACCTGGCGGAAGTCCTAGGCGGCGACATCCTTTGGGATTGATTGGTGTTTTCAGTGTCTTTAATGTTTTCAGAAGAAAAAGCACAGACAGAAAGAGTATTACTATCAAGTTTGGGAGAATATCGCCCCCGAGGGAAATGTCGACATTTGACATGGAGAACTATGCAGGACTTCAAATGGAGAGGGAAAAATTTACCGATTTCCGATCTCCGAACCGTCAACATTCATCCCGCTGCCCTACTTATGATGGCATTTTTAATGTCATTTTTAGATTGAGATTGAATACAGAGTTGGAGCTTGAATTTATTTCCTTATTTTTCTACTAAATTGGCTTCTCATTGGCTTTGCTGCCAGCCCTCCTGATGCTCCCATGAGCATCAACATGGACCTTCTCGGTCTCAATGGTCTTGAAGGGTTCGAGGACGGAGACACGCGTAAGTAATTTCTCCATCTGCCTTAGAAAAAAACAAAAACATTGAACTATTCCCCAGCGCCCGTGGTCTCGATCTCAGCATCGCAATCCCTTAACGCGTCGGCCGCCACCCGCCACCCGATCGCGACGGGCCTGGCGCGTCTGGACGAGGCCCTAAATGACCTCCCAGACCAGCCCAATCAAGGCGGCATCTTGCGTGGGCATGTTACAGAAATATTCGGACCTCCAGGAGCTGGGAAGACCTCGCTGGCGTGAGTGCACCCCCCATATCCACACCGCCAGAGTCCCGATCTGACTCATTTGCAGGTTCAATATTGCATGTAATGCACTACGCGACGGCAAAGTGGTCTGGATTGGTATGTTCCTGCCAGCTCCCCGAGTCAGCTGCGCTATTCTACTTACACCATTAGATACGGGATGTCCCTTGCCCAGTCCCCGGCTCGAGGAAATGTCAGTCAACCTCGATGACTTTATTTATATTCGGGCGCATACGCTGGCCCATCTTATAGCCCTGCTTGCACGTCCACCAAAGGGATTTCCGCCGTCGGAAACAAACCTTATTGTTGTCGACTCGGTGTCGAATTTATTCCCAGCTTACTTCCCCAGCCCCCAAGAGCTCAAGGATCAGCTCGCCGAGGGCAAAATCACCGATAAAGCACAGCTGCAATGGCTGCTCAATCGCAAATGGAATATTATCAGCGAGCTCGCCACGCATCTGGCTAGACTTGCCGCGAGAAGTATTGCCGTGTTGACAATTAACCAATCCCGTACAAAGATCAAGGGTCAATCTCATGCATTTCTGCAACCGCTCTTGTCGGGCAGCGCGTGGGAGGCCAGCGTGCAGACTCGCATTGTGGTCTATCGTGACCTGCCAAATGAGCGATTTGCAGAGGTTGAGAAGCGCGCGGGTAAGCCATTGCCCGAGCAACCCCGGGAGCAGCTCATTGCGTTTCGCATTGAACCGGTATGTCGATGTTTCTGATTTGTCGCCTGCGATTGTGCTTCTAATTTGCCTAGGATGGACTTTACGAAATTGAGAAAACAGAATCTTTACTTTCCGAGCCTCTGACCCCCTTGCCGAAGTCTCCTCCTGGCTTTGAATACTATGATCCTCCCACTCCGACTCCTTCGCCTATATCCTCTTTGCTGTCTTCTGCACCACCTTCTCCGGCATTGGAGTCTCCAAGGCCATTATTGCCTGAGCCAGCGTCACCAAAACAGCATAAGCAGACACCAAACAAGAAACGGAAGGTGGAGGAGGTAGCTGATAGCCAGGATGAAGACAGCGAGGAAGAAGATGTCCCATGGACAGACGAGACAACCTTGAATACGAATAAATTTTGAAATAATATATACATATTTTAGAATAATTATTAACTTGTTCGCATCATGAAAGAGTAGTAGAGAATACTACGGAGTACGCCTTTCACTGTGCCAACAGTGTTTACCTCTTTCTTTCATATGTATCCTTGCTGTAGATCTCTTTCAATATCTATTTTTGGTATCTATTTACTTCTTTTATCAAGTATAAGGACGAAAATATTCAAAATAGTCAAAATAATCAACAAGTTCTTCCAATTCTTCCAATTCCTACTTCGTGTTAGCAGTTTAAAATATTATAGTAATATCGGACTCGGCCCCCAACTCCGATGCCGGACTGAATGTTTTATCTCCCCCAGGGTTACCCCAGACTTTGACACCCCTAGTGTAAATTTGCACCCTTGAATATACCCTACGAACACCCTGTCAATGCCCAAGGCTTCATTCGTTTGCTTTTCTTTTAACTCGCTCAGACAAGTCCAAAATTTGATCTGCATGACAGAGCATTGTCACTTCCTGACACCCTGTACAACCAGTCCATATTGCACACTACAGTCACTCTGTTCGCATTTTCGAATTTTCGCCCTTTCTTTCTCTCTTTTCATTTCTTAAAATTCTTTCATTACCCCCCGTTTGTCCATGAGAACATGTGGATACACCAAACAGGGTGAACCAGACTCCTTCCTCGAGTCCGGTCGCTCATATATCTCCCAAAGCCCGAATGCCTCTCTTTCACAAACATGTCCAACGTTCCCCAGGACCTGATGGATGGGATATCTGGTGCCCTCGCAAAAGAGGGTGATGTGCTACAGATGATCCTCGTCGCTTTCATCGGATTATCATGTTACAACGTTGCCGAGCTAGTGGTACTCGTGCCAGCCACATTCCGCCGGTGGCGCGGGCTCTATTTCTGGTCCCTGCTTGTCACAGGTGTGCTCGGTGTCGTACCATACTCGATCGGCTTCTTGATGAAGTTCTTTACTCAGACCGACTCCGTACTGTCGGTCACTGTTCTGACTATCGGCTGGTGGACCATGGTGACCGGTCAATCCGTGGTGTTGTACTCACGACTCCACCTTGTACTACGAGATGAGCGCGTGCTGCGCCGTGTTTTACAGCTTATTGTCGCAAATGTCTTTCTCCTGCATGTGCCCACGACGATCCTCACTTACGGCGCGAACATAGTCCGGAGCGGTGACACTGCCTGGGTGAATGGGTACAATATCATGGAGAAGATCCAGCTGACTGGGTTCACAATCCAAGAGAGTCTGCTGTCAACGCTGTATGTGATTGAGACGGTTAAGCTGCTGCGTCTTGGAGCGGATGTGTCTTCCCGCCCGGATGCCCGGACCATCATGTACCAGCTGATCGGGATCAACTGCGCGATCATAGCGATGGATCTGCTGCTTTTGAGTCTCGAATATGCCGATTTTTATGCCGTACAAATCACCTTGAAGGGATTTGTGTACTCGCTCAAACTTAAGCTTGAGTTTGCTGTGCTTGGTCGTCTGGTAGATCTCATCCAGGGATCAAGACATCCTATTTCTATTGCTATCGCCGATACATTGCCTCTTTGCTCGGTGCAGAGGCCGCCCGAGACTCCCGATCGCAGTGACGATGCGCCTTATGAACAGGCTGAGCCGAAGGAATTTTTGGCCCCGCCGGACGGAGGCCAAGTTGTTCAGAGAAGGATGTTAGTAGAGTCTGGGAGGACAGATTCATTAGCAATATGACGATGTACAGTAATGATGATCGAAATAGGCTTGGAACTGAATATTTGGAGTGTTCAAGTCCTGCAGGACAGGCTGTATGAGCGAACGACTGTAAGTAATGAAAATGAATTCGAAATCTGTGTGGCTCGGACCATCTTCTGGCACTTCGAAGAGTCCTAGTGTTGCTATCAAGGTACGGAGTATGGAGGTGACATGAAGTAGATTATTAGGTAGGTAGCCGTGTGTACCCAGGTGGGTGCCCATGCAATTTGTGAGAAAATGTCAATAGCAGACAAAAAGGAAATATTTCATTCGAGTCTACATGAAATATGTGTTCTCGTTCATAGATTGGTCAGGTAGTCCTCGATCTGCTCCTTAGTCAACTTGCGGAACCGTGGTCCCTGAGCACCCTCCACTCCCTCAAAGCCCAGCAGGTGATCTGCTGGGGGGCCGACGATGCCTGAAACGGAGTTAGTCGATGTTCACCAAACCCTTGAATACCCAAGCAGCCAGAATGGGAGGAAAGCGGGCAGAAATCACAAAACTCACCAATTTCTATTGTGTCACCATTCATCTCTCCCTCGATCGTCTCCTTGAGTGTCAACAGCGCGATGTGGATAGCATCTTCCAATTCGAGCCCTTCAGTGTACCGCTTCTCGAGGAATGTCTTGGCGCTCGTTGCGTGTTTGCCGATAGCTGTCGCCTTCCACGGGTAGTAGCTGCCACTGGGGTCAACCTGGTACAGACTTGGCCCACCCTTCTTGATACCGCCAGTCTTGCTGGAGATCTTCTCCTCGGGATCATCCTTCTTAGCCTCTTCTGACTCAGGCTCAACGCCCTCGTCCCAGCCTGCGACCAACAGGCTGACACCGTACGGCCGCACACCACCGGATTGCGTAGCTTCTTGCACTACCCGAGCGACGTCCTGAACCAATATGCGAGTAGGTGGGTATTCGTTGTAGATGCGCTTGTAGCCTGTGTGCGAGACCTTGCGGGCCTTGTCGACCAGCACCCGGTAGTCGGGGCCCATGCCGGCGTAGACCATACCGATATCCGGCGTGATCAGTGAGATCTTGGATAAAGAGGGAGGGTCGATCAGAGGCGAGGAGGACTTCTTCTCAGTCGCGAGCACAATGCCGTTGGTAGCTATCACGGGGGCGGTCAGCTTGGTCCTGTGTGGGATAACTTGGGCGTTTTGGTACCTTTGATACCAAGGGCAGTCACACCCTGGTTGACCGCGTTCAAGGCATATTCTATATTGATCAGTCATCGATACATAAGCCCAGAGACGATGGTACCGTACCAATTTGCACCAGCTTTCCGCTGGAATGGAGCTGAGTTAGCACGTTGTCAATTCCACAGGACAAGTTATCCTTACCTGGGGGAGAATGTAGTCAAGGAGAATGAGTATCTGTCCGCCATGATTCGCTGTCAACAGGAAGAGAAGAGGAGAAGATGGAAAGATCAAAAGAAGGGGAGCTGTGTTGTAGGCAGAGATGGGTGACGTTTGACGCGGTAGAGCTCACGAAAGGCGGTGACCATATCGGGATTAGCCGTGGGGTTTGGGACACCTTCAGCTTTTCTGCTTTTTCTCTTCTTCTCGTCATTCTATTTTTTTTCTACACACCAAAAAACGAACAGTAATTCTCTCTCGGCCTTCTTTTGTCAAGGTTCGAGTAAATTTCGATGTGAGACTAAATGGCAGACACACAGCATTACCCTCCACGGGTCTGTCGCATTTGCCTAGAAAGCGTGTTACCTACTTTTCAACCCTCAGAATTCCTTCAGAAGCCTCGAGTGGTTTATGAATCTTCCGATCCAGAATCTGGCCGTCTATTAAGCCCCTGTCAATGCAAAGGCTCCTCGCGTTATGTTCACGAGGGCTGCTTGCAGTCATGGCGCCATGCCGACCCCAAATATGGGACAAGAAACTTCTGGCAGTGTCCTACCTGCGGCTTCCAGTACCGTCTGGAGCGTCTGACTTGGGCTCGATGGATCAGTAGCGCCACCACCCAACTAATTCTCACACTCGGCATTCTTTTGTTAACCGTATTCCTGCTTGGATTCATTGCTGACCCCATCATTGATTTTTACTTGGGCCCCGTGGATGCTTACGCCGATTTGGTCGAGGAAGATTCCTCCTGGTTGGGACACTTCCTCAAAGGGCTCGCATCTTTGGGCTTATTGTCTTTCCTCAAGGCAATATTTGCCCTGTCACCTTTCCCTTGGAATCTCCGCTCTGTTGCATCAGGGCGTAACTCGGGCCGTAATCGGGCCGCCCAGTTGAACTGGCTAGTGGTTATGCTTGGCATTGGTACTTTCCTTTGGGTATGTGTGGTCACATTTGACTATATCTGACTTAACTAACCGCCGACAGGCTGTCTACAAAGGTGTTCGGTCATGGAGTAGACGAACGCTAGAAAAGGCTGGCGAGCGTGTCATGGATGTCCCATTACCAGGTGAAGAGGATACAGACGTCCCAGTACCGGATGAGGGAATGAAGCAAGACTAGTTCTGAATGAACTCGCACTACTTAAGTTGCCGTCCTCCTCTGCCCCATGAGACGTCGATTAGTCAATGTGCGAAGAACAATAACTGCCTTCAATAACTCTTGATTGTTTGCCTGAGAAGCAGATGATTGGCTCGAGAGCGTCTTGTTCCCAAGTCATTCGCTGCTTCACCAATCAGGCAGCTTTCTTGGGGAAGGCAGTCCACTACTCAATTGTAAAGAAGCGTTCTGACCCTCGAGTCTGACCTATTAGCGCTTATGGATTGAGCAGCGGTAAATTCATGTATAGTCTTTTTCCTATTCAGGTCATATTGATCCATTATCCTATTGTCCCATTGTCTTACTATTGTCCTATTGTCACATGCATTACTTCAATAACTTCAATACATTATGGCAGCTTTCTGTCTCGTTTTTAAGACCACTCCATCTCACTTCCCCTCTTCTTCCCTTCTCTTCCTTTCATGTGAATCAACTTTTTTTTTTTCTGATCTTTGCAAAATGGACGATCTTCCACCGGGATCCCGTCTCGCGGTTGTCCGCTCTCAAGTTGCGATTAACTCTGAATCGGACGAATCTGGACCTACCACTCCTACAAACACAGATACTGCAAACACTGATGTCGCAAATACTGATGTCGCAAACACTGATATTGCAAACACGGACACCGAACCATTCCCTGAGTACGACGAGTCCGAGCGTGAGCTCCTTGCATCTTCTATCGCAGCTGAGAAACATCTCGAGGAAGCATGGTTCTATGCTCTCAACAAAACTGCCCAGCAAGAGATCCGCATACTCTATGTCGACCCCAACATCATCCCGTATTTCAAAAGTGACCCGTCTCAGCGCAGCCAAGCTGTCCTCGAACAGCTGCGAAACATTCTCGCCGAGCCACAAATGCGTTCTAAGATCCGCGAGAAATTCATCACTATCATCAACGCCACCCTTCAGTCCAATCTCGTCATCTTCCACCAAAGCCCGGAGTTTTTAGCTCCCAAAGAAATCAAACATGGAAAACGTCACCTCGATACAATTCTCAAACACATCGAATTCATGGAAGACATGCTTAAAGAGCAGCTAAAGACTGCTCAGCGGGTTTCTTATGCTCTGGAGGGTATCTCAGCCGAGGTTAGCTCTGCCTACGAGCGACTTCGCAAAATGGCGACTGTGGTTGTGAAGTAAGTGCTTAATACCATTGCTTCTTGTCTACTCTCTGCTTCAGCACCTCTAATACCCAGTGAACAGGAATATGAAAAAGCCCCGTCAGCTTGAACAACGACTGCTTGCTTTGTACATGGATATGTACGAGGAATGGATCCACACTCCTTTCCTCCGTCTGCGCCAGCGTCAACTCCTGGATGAGGAACCCCCTAACTTCCCACGCACGAAGATCTCACGTCAGGTCCTTATCGTCTGGGAGATCGTCAACCGGTGCATCGAAATTTACCGTACCTTGACCTGGATCACTCTCGAGATCAAACGCAAGTACTTCGCGCCAGTGATGGGATATCTTTGTGACTCGCCAGACACCTGGGAAAAATGCTGGGAGCAATACCAGGCAATCGAAAAGGACCAGCACAACCCAGTCGAGCAGGATTTGTCTCAATATGCCACCATCTGAATGACGGAAGACACTGGACCATCACATGGAGATATCTTCTTCGCCTCTACGATTCTACGATTCTACGATTTGTTTTTAATGTTTCAAATACCCCAGGTGCAATTTTTCAAACGGCAGAACAAACCGCATACCGAAATTCAATGTGAAAATTCTAATCCATCTCGCTGTAATCTCAAGCCGTACTATCCTTGTAAGCCCCGAGCTTGAACAACTTCTTCGCATTCTCCCTTCCAATCTTCAACCGGTCTGTATTCGACATCTCCGCCGAATCAAACCACTCACACGCATCCCCAAATGTCTCAAACGGATAATCAATCGAGAACAAAATCCGATCAGCCCCAACCTCCGCCATACAAAAGTGCAACGTAGTAGTCGAGAAATGCCCCGACGTCGTGATCCACAAATTATCCGCAAAATACTCTCGAATCGTCCGCTTACACGTCTCCCCAAGTCCGAGCATCTTCTTCCGATCCTCAAACCAGTGGTTAATCCGCCACATATCAAACGGTATATGCTCCCCCAAATGTCCAAGTATAACCTGCAGCTTGGGGTTCCGGTCAAACACCCCATTCGTCACCATCCCCAGAACATGAAGACTGACTCCATGCGCGAACGACAGTGGAGGCCCAATCAGCCATTTTCGATCCGCCCAGAGCTTCTCGTGGATCGTGCCTGTTGGGTTGCGCGGGTGAAGGTACAGCGGCACATCGAGTTCAGTGCATGTAGCCCAGAATACATCCCATTTCTCGTTATCGTAGAAGATCATGTCGTCGCCGTCGTTGCCGGCGCGCTGTGTGTCGTTCACTAGTGCCCCCAGGAACCCGTACTGTGTTACACAGCGGCGCAGCTCGGCTGCTGCTTCTTGCGGGTCGTGCATGGAGAGCGTGCTGGTTGAGTTAGCTGAGATGTTTTGATTTCGATTCTAGATCTGGGAGGCTACAACTTACGCAAATGCGGCAAACCGATCTGGGTGTGCTTTCACTTTCTCCGCGATGTAATCGTTGATCTCAACAGCAAGAGCTTGCGCATCCTTTGCGTCCCAGATGTCCTGTACACCAGGAGCTGTGTAACTGAGAATCTGGAGACCGACGCCATGGCGCTCGGCGAAGTCCAGACGGATTGGTCCGACGTCGTTGATCTCTGCTGTGTGCTTCTTTGTGTCGGTTGCGAACATGCCCGCCCACCATTTTGTCTTTTCATGGCATCGGGGCAGCGCGAAGGCTTCTTCGAGGGCGATTTTTCCGAGCATTTTGGTTGTGTAGTAAGAGATAGGGTAAGAAGGCTTGGGGATGTAAACAATATCATATACAATTCTCAGCTCCTTTATAGTACATGCGGGGACCTCGCACTTCGGAAGCGCCCAGACATACTAGCCTATTACATTGGACCATGAGCTCTTTTCATCGGAATGTCGGATGTCAAGGTAAAAGAAAAGCATCCGACAGCGGACCGCTGTTGGGTCGGATACGGGAAGCGGTTGATCATGTTACTGTCTTCTATGCAAAACTATGTGCCAATTCTGGTCACAGATCGCAGCCCAATTCCATGAGTAGGTGGATCACGTTTAGACTGAACAATCTCAACCGCTTTTTCATCGATAAGGCCTTTGGCGACTAGATGACGGACATATTCCATAGTCCATTCCTGACACCGCTTGTTGGTAGTCTGCAAATTCGAGTGTGTGAGCTTGATCTGAATCTCACACTGCTTTTCCAGAGTATATGCTACCACTCACATCATTGACAGGTGCCATGAAGTTCTGATTGATTCCCGGAGTCGGTATTTGTGTCGCCGCTAGTTCGATCTTCCCTCGGGGAGTGGAGTCAATAGATGGAGCCGCATCTGGGGAATCAATGATGTTGGAAGAGTGGATCTGGCCGATCGGAAAGGTATGGTCATGAGATTCGAGACTGGGATTGTAATTTCGTTTGAACTCCAAGACGTAGCCTGCCATTGGTGCACCAACCGCGTGGATTTTGGTTCCTTGGTCGGGATTGGTAGCCGATGGAACAAATATTGAGAAGTGGGCTCTTTGGAAGGATGTATTGCGAGCAGAAATGAGATAAATCGTTCTCGTAGTCATTGTTGTTGATTGTGGAGAGAACACAAAGGTGAGATGGTTAAGGCATCCATATCCTGAGGGCATATACGAGTCATGCAGCCAACCGCTCCGGGATATACCCAATGGTAGACTTAACAGGAATTCTCAATTTGAGTAGATTTTTGAGTACAGTTTATCAATCAATATATAAAGAGTAGGATAACTAGAAGTAATTCATTTCTTCGCTAATTTGCACGCTAAGATCGGCTCAGAGAAAGGAAGTAAAGGCATAGCCTGTAACAGCTTGCAATATTCCCTACTTCTCAACAAACTTGAGTCCGCATTCCTCCTTTGGGCGGCAAGTCGCAGAATCGTTCCACTCGGGAAGGGGAACACGATTCATCTTTTGGCCCTGCCTATCAACCATCGTGATATCAAACCGCATAAAAGCATAAGCAACCACGAGCTTCATACTCAACGTAGCAAGCCGCTGGCCTTTGCAGGCATGCTTTCCCCCACCCCAGCCAATAAACGGTGTCTCCTTTCCAATCACGCGAGATGGATCCCAGCGATTTGGGTTGGGGTAGTACTTCGGGTTGAGCGCTGTATCCGAAAATGGGTACACAACGAGAGATCCCGAGGGGATGACGTATGGGCCGACTGCAAGGTCTGGGCCTGTATTCTTTCGCACTGCTGTGTATGGCTGTGAGGTGCGCAGTGTTTCACGGATGCAGAGGTCGAGATTGGGTGTTTGGGATTCCCAGTCTGCGAGTGGGATTTCCGAGAGGGCTTGAATGAGGGCGTTCCCAGAGAGAGAGGCTGAAGATGCGTGAGTAGAGATAAAGGCCTTGATCTCCTCTTGAACATTTGAGGACCAAGCTGGGTCCGAGCAGATTTGCATGATCAGCCATGTTACTAGAGGGGATAACCGTCAGTGTTATTATATTCAATGGTGCTGAATATCCAACTTACCGATTGTTCCGGTGGCACGAGCTCCAGCTAGAGATATTCCTAGCATAAACTTCAGAGCGAGTCAGATTCTCGATCAAAATACCAGAAGAGTAGAAACCGGTGAGAATACATACCCCGAAGATTTGAACAGTACCATCTCCCTCATCAAGCATCTGCTGCAGCATATCGTCTCTCTTGATTCCACTCATCTTCCTGTTGTTAATGGCTGCTTGAACGATTCGGTAAATTCGAACAGAAGCAAAGAACTTCTGGAATAAGGCTGGGCCAGGTAGCCAAGGAAACCAGGTTGAGTATGGGTTATCGATAGAGTCGACAGTATCGACAAGTGACTTGAGATGAGCTGAAAGCACTGGATCATTGGCGATATCAAAGGACGCAATGCGCATGACCAGTTGAAAAGTGACCTATTGATAAAACAGTATGTGTCAAATTCCATTCACTAGAGATAGATCTCAGATTCACACATACCTCGTGAAGAGAAGAACAGGGGTCGAGAATACGCTCTTTACCCCATGCCTCCATGTTACGATGGCATTCTGAGAGAATGATTGGAATCACTGTCGGTGTATTAGTCAATCTGTTATCTCATCGAGAACGGCATAGACTAACATTTCTGGAGGTTATCAGGTCGTTGAATCGAAGCCATTCGTCTGACTATGTCACTGACTTTGTGGGGGTCAAATTGAGAAGCGCCCTGAATACGAGATTAATTATTGCTGAGACCATCATGATCAGGGATCTTACACTGCCCATCATAATTGAAAATGTATCGTATAAACAGAGACCCTTCTCCTTGAAGAAGGTCTGTCTGCCTTCATCACCGGAAAGAACGATGGCATCGTGTCGGAACAGCTTGGTCTGGTAGATGAATGATGATGTAGCCCTGAAGCCATCCTTGATGAAATCAAATCTCTTCTCAAAGAACAGCTGGGTAACCTTCCAAGCAGGCAATTGCAAGTGTGGAGGAGACTTGTCTCTTCCGGGCGAAGATGCCATGGAAGATACCATCGACATGCGTACTATTTTGTAGACCAAAGCAGAAAGTAGAAGAATCAGCGAGGTCAGGCCACCCCAGTCTCGAAGAGTAACCGAGGAGTCATTGCATGAAGCAAGTATCAGTCGAGTCAAAGTGCTTTGCAGCATTGTGAAGAAATGCCCGAGAGATATGCTAGAGAGATGTAGTAGAAGAGAAGTGGTAGAAGAGAAGTAGTAGAAGAGAAGTGACAGAGAGGAAGTGACAGAAGGGAAGTGACAGAGAGGGAGTGCAAGAAGATCAAGGTCTTTATACCCCGAAAGAAGATAAGGCCCCGACGCGGGAGGAACTGAAAATGACAATCCGGACAATCAATTGTACTCCGTGGCAAACGAACCAAAGGAGCCAAAAGAGCCAAAGAGCCAAAGATCCATTTGTGTTCCTTCCGTAAATGGCAGTTTGCCCTAACAGGGGTTTCAGCCAAAAGGTCTACACTGCGTGATTTAAACACAGTCCCCGACCCACGCATTTGACAATTAGCCTATGGCGCAGGTCTTACTCTGTTTGAAACAGTTGCTATAGGCTGCTGTTGAATTTCTGTCTTGGATATTGTCAGCATTAGCGCGATGCATATTGGAATTTATATTAAAGCGGATCCCTGAGGCACGTTGAGCCATGGGCTGAGGCTTATAGTCCATAATCCAGTTTATTTTTGTCCCATAATATACATATGTAGATGTCATTGTAAGGTTGTAAGCACATAATTTTCTCATCTGGGCAATTGAGTAAGTCTGTCTATATTGGGGCCAAAGCCTCATTAGGCTAGCTCAGGCATCCAGGGCTTTTTTTATTGCCAAAGTTTCATCTTACCTGAGATCCTGAATATTCAGCTCTTTAGGTCTTTTTTTGGTGGGTAATACTTCACTAGGTAAGATTACCAGATTATAGTATAGGTAACCTTTGAACCAATTAAGAATTGAGATAAGGGTACGTGATGCATACCTATTCCAGCTCTCAATTTTTTAAAAAAAAATAAAAGTGTTATGGCTTATAAGACTGAGTTAGAATAGTTCAGGGTATAATGGAATGCTTGGTTCTTTGCCTTAGTCTTTCAGGGTATGTGATCCTGCATTAAGAAAAAAAAACGATTTATTTTCTAGAAAGATTCTATGTACATTTGTGTACTTTGTATGCATTGACTCTTTTTTAAATTAGGCCTCTTAGTATGATTCCGAGATCATCCTTGGAAATCCCGAGACTATGGGAGGCCCAATCAACGTTCGATTTCAGATCTCCGTTCCTTTCCAGAATTGTTCATAATATATTATTTTATAGAAGTTCTTACACGAACTACTCAAGTTATTTTGTCGATCTATGTCTGACTCATCTTTTGTGGCTTAGGGCTCGTAAAGAGCCTCCAGAGCTATGTTCACCTCTTCTTAATTGAACTGAGATTGGGATCAGGCTCAGGCTCAGCTTCGCCTAATTTGGCCTTGACTATTTGTGGCTGACAATGGCATTATGGAGACCAACAGCCAACAATATCTTTCTGGTCTCTTAGCGATTGGCTACATTTTTTTAGTTGCATACAAGCCCAGCCATTATTCTATGTCACTACACGCTGTTGGATGCGCCACAATGCATCTGCAGACAATGTGATTGGATAGGGCTTCGGGTAATGGGCTAATCTATAGCTTTGGAATGTAAGATAATTTATATCCTAGTTATTCATGGAAGGGGAAAAAAATATGAACTAGAATAGGCCAAGACGTCCACGCCCAATAGGAAAATAACCGGAAGAGAACTCCGGATTCTTACATGTGAATTGCTGGAAAGTACGAAGTACCATTTATTCACATAAATTTAAACGATCCAATTACGAAAAGTCATCTTGCTTCCTATAAGCTGCATAAAAAAAGCATCTAGACTCGAGGCGTTGCAATCCGGTCCAATCCTTCTGGTGCGGGGGGTTACATTGGGATAGCTTGGTCCTCTTGGAATTAGTTATTGCAAGTTCTTCATTATTATCAATACCAATATATTTTTTTTTGAATCCATCTCTTCAAATACAAACAAAATTTTACTCCGTACATAGTATCTCATCAAGCATTAAATCCCACATCATGAGCCTTGGCCAATTCCTCCCTCTCATAAAGAACTTCTGGTCTAACACCCCTCCTCAAGAAATATCGTTTAAAGAAATATCCAATTTGCCTTATCCCATACCGCGCATGGAACCTCGTTGGCACAGAAAAGACCTGATCCAACTCTTCAAGCGTTTTCCCCTTCGTCTCAGGCATGAACAAGAGTATCAGCCACCATCCAACCAAACACCAGGCTGCATGCCAAGCAAATGCGCCCTGTATTGTGAATGCAGCGCGCAGGGACGGCCACGTCACGCCTAGAAGGAAATTACAGAACCACATTGTTGCCGTGCCTAGCGCCATTCCGTAGGACCGGACGTATAACGGGTACACCTCGGCTGTGTAGGTGAATGGCACGGGTCCCTCGCCCGGTGAGTAGAATATGCCAAAAATATATGTCCCCACAGCGATACATGCGAGGCGTGCATTGTGGCTGCTCTCTGGGATCCAGAAGCTGAAGCCTGTGAATAAAAGTGCCATAGACATGAGAGGAAAGGTGAGTAATAGGAGATTGCGTCGGCCAACCTTAATGTGTCGATTGTGTAAACTGCCGGTATCGATAAGAGCCAATTGATTAGGCCCCAACCCAACGAGGCGGCTAATGCAGCCGGTGGGGAGAATTTGGCCTGAGCTTTCGTTTAATATTCTGGAGAGGAAGTAGGATAGATAAATTGGACTAACCTCGAGAAATATCTCGGAAGAATAATATGAAATAACGTTCACGCCACAGAACTGTTTTATGTCAGTACGTCTGCAATTACTTCCGTACATACATATATGTACGTATGTCTTGCTGAAATTCCCCACTTACCTGCTGCATGAACATGACAATCTGAGACGCCAACGTCGCTCGCCGATTTCGCGGGACTTTGATCAGTTCCAGCATCTTGTTATTTCCAAGGTTCATCTTATCCTCAGCCTCCAGCAGGGTATGCATGTAGTACAAGTCCCGAGCCGCCTGAATTTTGTGATGTCGCAGCGTACAGATAGACCTGTAAGCATGATAATATTGTTTCTGTCGCATATACCAATGTGGAGACTCGGGGCAAGCAAAGACAAAGCAGCAAACGACCAGAGCCGGGAACATTGCCGAGGCCATCATACAGCGCCAATTCAGGCCGACGATGATAGTCGAGTCGACATTGTAGAAGATGAGGTCGGATGCATAGCCGACCATAATCCTGAACGCAGTCCAGACATGCCACTGCATGACCAATGCACCACGGATGGACGGCGGCGCCGTTTCAGCCGCGTATATTGGCACTGTTGCTGATTTGGGGCCGATACCGAAGCCTAACATGAATCGTGCAACAAACATCGCCCACCAGGTAGAGACAAATCCCTGCCAGAGACAGGCTATCGCAGAGAAGCAGCATGTTATGAAAATTGTACCGCGGCGCCCAAGCCAGTAATTGAATGGGACTGTTAGCCAGCAGCTGATGAAGGCGCAGCAGAGGTATGGCGCTGAATTTATTAGACCGAGGAGCCAGGCATTCCGAGAGGATTCGTCGCCGATGCCGAATTGGTATTTGTAAAATATCTGGGCTCCATTGACAACCGTTTGGTCTGTTATTGGTCAGTACGAGGTATCGAGACTTGGGGACTGCTCAGGCTGAGGTACTACTTACCCATGCCCTGAACTGCAGCAGATAAAGAACACAATGTAATGACGGCATACATCTTCCATGGCTGTGACCAGCGATGCGTGAACTCCCGGCGTAATACTCCCTTCTCCTGGTTTGTTAGACCAGCAACATTGGTATATCGTTCTGGAGACTGTGCCAGCACAGCACCCAGCTCGAAAGCACGGATATCGGACTCGTCGCCCATCTCGTGAAGTTCAGCAAACGTACGCCCCTGCCTCCGTAGTTCGGTATGGCTAAACCCGGCCAACGGATTGGAGAGTTTGGCATTGCGCCGTGCTCTCTCAGCTGCTGTTCCAAATGGCCGTTGTGGCACGACCTTCTCGGACAGCGCGTCCATTTTCTCTTTTTCTGTCATCTCTCTATTTTTAAGAAGTTCATGCAGGGAAACACTGAGATAATATTTCGTTTCCAGGTTGGAAAGACTGGGGTCCCCGGGACAAAGAAACTCGAACGCAAGCAAACCACACTGTATAGAGTGGAACGGGTAACGCACTATTCCTAAACGGCATGTTGAGTGATATCAATGTACATGTGGAGGGGCATTCAAGTGGGTCTATCAAAGAATCCGTCAAAGAACGCGGCATGGGGTTTGAGGGCGCAACTTGAACTAGACGCGATATTCTTCGAAGTGCCCGCAGGTGATTGGCAGGGCTAGGGCTGGGGTGTTCCAAGGTTGATTGCAAACCAAGGATCATTTCGGGCTGTCCCTGCACAGCTTATTGGCATATACAGTCGAGTAGAAAGGAGCAAATGGACGTGTTGTGTTATTCATTTGATAGAGAATGGGAACTGATACGAAGGATGTTTCAAAGTTATTATAAAAGATATCAATTATATTCTCCCGAGATCTAGTTCTATATATTGAGACAAGCAACAATCTGTGAAAAACTGTAATCATATTAGCAATGATCGCATAGACTCGACAAGAGGAACAAAGTCAAGAAGCTCTTATTCAGACAGCAGTTGGTACAATTTTTCGTCGACATTATATTTCAGAACAGGTCTCGTGAAAGGTTACATCATCATTAAGAGCAGGGAGAGAGAAAGAAAGAAAGAAAGAAAGAAAGAAAAAGGCAGTCGAAACTCACATTTGGAAATGTAAGCTGTCCCGTCGATGAAAGAACATTGAATTCTCATAACGGGGACAGCTGGTACCATTGTAGAAGCACGGCAAGAACAAAGCTTCATCATGCTTATGGTCTTGTCATATACGACCACAAGGTCATTAGGGTCAATTTTCAAAGAAAGACTGCCATTGGAAGTGTCGAAAACAAAGAGGTGTAGTGGATGAAGATGAAATAAAGAGAAGAAGAAAAAAATCGAGTCGCCTTAAATAGCAAGTGGATTGCAAGTTTTGCACTGTTTGCACCCCCAAAAAAAGTGGAAGACTGCAAATTTACAAAGTCGATTTTTCTGGCTTTGGATGAAATTATTTAGATATACTGTTTTGTCAAAGAAAGTATCTTTTTATAATACTGAAATTCTGTCTCAAAAATCATGAATTCAGAGAGCCCCAAACTAGAGGAGCAACAGAGTAAGATCATCCTGAAAAACATACCCCAAAGAGTCTTAACTAATCGATATCTACAAAATACAGCTCCTACCAAGCCTCCCTTTGAAAATGTCCGCACCGATGGCCGAGCCTTCAACTCTCCTAATTGGCGCATGAAGGCCGAAAGCCCAGCAACACCATCTCGCATCAATGCCAGCCCAAGCGCGAGCCCCAACACCAACCCCAATACCTCCCGCGCAGCCTTCAGCCGGCCCGGAGCGCACGTCCCCCAAGCGATCAACGATGGCCGCCGCCTATACGTTGGCAACATGCCCTACACGGCTAAGATGGAGGATGTGGAGGCGCTGTTCATAGCGGCCGAGTTCCCTATGTATGCCTGCACTTGAACCTGATGGTCAGCCGTGAATTCGCCAACTGAACTTCCCTCCCAAAAATAGCGAGCGCATAGATATTGCCATTGATCCTTTCACCGGGCGGAACCCTTCTTACTGCTTCGTCGACTTGCAGAACAAGGAGCATGCCGAGCGTGCCATGACCGAGCTCGATGGTCGCGATATCTTGGGTCGACCTGTCAAAATTAAGCCCGGTGTCGCCAAGTCTCAGGAACGCATTCAGAATCCTTCTGAGCCCTTCCGCGTTGATCGCTGGCGTCAGCAAGAGAGACCTAGCCCTGCTAAGGTCAACAGTGACTCTAGCAGCCGCGTGTATGTCGGTGGATTGCCACGATTGACCGACCACGGGGCTGTGCAAAGCAACATAGAGATTTTCTTCAAGGGGTTCAAGGTGTAAGTTTAGGATTTCTGGTGTCGTGTGACCAGTACTGATGCCGTATATTTGCAGTGAGAATGTCAGCAAGGTCTTTGCCCCTCACCCCGCTAAGCGGTTCGATCCCGGCGAGCATTACTATCTGTTCGTCGACGTGGGTACTGCCGAACAAGCCCAAAAAGCCATGAACACATTGAATGGCCAGGAAGGACCATGGGGTGGTCCACTACGTGTACAGTTTGCTCGTGGTCCCAAGGATACCTGATCTAAGTACTCTGTACTCCGTCTGTACTCCGTACGGAGTACAGGAACCTAAAAAAATAAGTATTATTAATGATAGGATGTGTCACATTGCAGCTATGATACCTGAATAGACTATTACATGCATAATTATATCGCTACTCCTTCCCTTTTTGTTTCTTAATATCTGTTTATTTGTTGACAATATAGAACTTGATCTTAAGAAGAGCCTAGATACCTTGGCTTGGGAGAGACAATATCAACCTATTCCAAGGTTAGGTACTGGTTAGGATATGTCATCGAGGGATGGCGGATGCCCATATCTGAAGTAGCTTTGCTTCTATAATTCGCTCATCCGCATGCCCATGAGGGAAGTATTCACTCGTCAAGCCTATGAGAATATTACTATCTGACTTGTTGTTGCCTATACCTAGGTATATTGAAGCCAAACTCCTAGCACATGGGAACACCAAATTGAAGCACGACAACTATATCTATGTACATAAATATATGGTGACTCAAATCCAACCATGATCAAGATACGGCACTGCATATATACCTAGCCCTAAGTTGATTTAATCACCATATATGTAACTACCTATGTACGAAGTACTCCGTGTACGTACCGGATTTTCCCGGGCGCTCTAGGGCTTTTACCTATTTGATCTGCCGCCGCTTTTATGAAGGTGCTCGGGCTCTGAGTAGATATCCATCAGTATGGAGGCAGATTAGTGATCATACTCAGTCACGTGCAGAATGACTGATACTCAGTGTCCAACCTTCCAGTGTGCAACCTTCTAGTGAGCAACCTTCCAGTGAGCAACCTTCCAGTGAGCAACAACTGATACACTTAGCCCCACCGCAGACTATACCCAGAAGGGATTAGCCCTCATAGGGTTGTTTATACTGTGATCGTTGATAGCATTGCTGCTACCCTCAATTTTTGGAACACTATATCTTATCAAGAAAATACCAACGAAGTCACGTAGGAAGAAGAGAACGCTACCCGTTTCATAATAGGTTAACGGCAGTTAGGTGTGGTTTCATTCCATGCCGTGTCGCATGCAACCGTCGCGCAATCTATGCCCATTTCCACCACTATGTTGAAGGCAGAGCCAGTGCCCCTGATCGACTTATGTCATCTCCGAGACACCAGGCTTGCATACGCGGAGGTATTCGACCGGGGAAGCAATAGCGCAATACCACGGGCTCGGGCGGTACTCCGCAACCCGGCCCACAGGTGGGGTATCACGATCCACATGCCGCAGCTTGCTCCGGATGGGTTACCTAGGTACTTTGTAAGTAGGCATACTGTCTCCAAGGTACCACAAAGCCGAGTGCCTTTTTTGCCCGGAGTTGGCACTGCCTATGTGGCCAAATAGAACGCTCTTTCTTGAGATGTGAGCGTGCCTGGCGATCTTGGCGGGATCCCTGTTATCGTCCCCAATATTGCGTCAAGTCGGTAATTTTAGCGGCATTTAGTGTTGACTGTCGACTTTCGAAATTACTGCATTAGTACAGCACGGGGCCAACGGGCGCGCATTGGACTGAGTATGAGATGTGTTTGTAGGCCCTGGAGGATTTTCCAGGGGTTACAGGAGCTACTTACGTTAGTTCAGCAGCTTTGGGGCCTGTTGAATTAGGTGTCATTTTGCAAAACCGGCTCGCTGGAAATATAACAATCGAATACTATGCGCTTGTAAAATTAAACCTCCACAGCACTTGACATTGATCGACCCCTTATCTCTCCACAGCATATGCTTCCCCCACGGCTCGAATCCTAGAACCTCATACTGCATGTTGACTTCAAGAACTCGACCCATCCCTGAATTTGACGTCCTCTCTTTAGGTTTCCTCGTGTTTGAAGATTTCTCGTCTTTTTTTTAAAGCCTTCTCTGCATTTTTGCTATGTCCTCCACAGCCAAGAACCCGAACCAATCTCGCCCGAGCGCGAACCAGCTGACGCATCTGTACTGGCAGGCCAGAAACCCACCGAAGGATCCGCAAACCTCATACAAGGGAAAGACTGTCTTGATCACCGGCGCCAACACTGGTATTGGATATCATGCCGCCGTCAAATTTGCTGCTTTGGGGGCATCGCCGCTCGTTATTGCCGTCCGCACACAGGAGAAAGGCGAGGCCACAAAGGCCGCCATCATTCGCGAGACCGGCAATGAGAATATTGTGGTCATCCCGGTAGATCTTTCGACGTTTGATGCCGTGAAGGAATTCGCCGCAAAGCTGAACGAACAAGTCCTCAAGCTTGATGTCGCACTCCTCAATGCGGGTCTTGCCATGCCCAGCTTCACAAAAGGGCCCGGAGAGTACGAGATCGCATTGCAAGTCAATGTGCTCTCCACGGCGTTGATGGCCTTGCTTATTCTCCCCAAGCTCCGGGAAACGGCCGCCGCCAATGCAATCCCGTCTCACCTCACGTTCACAACGAGCAAGGGCTACCAGGACGTCGAGGAGTCATGGCTCGAGTCAGACAAGACTTTGATTGACCAACTCAACAGCGAGGAGGGATGGTCCGACCAAAGACACTACTTGATGGTCAAGCTGGCCACCATGTTCGCCTTGCAGGGTGTGGCGGACCGACACAGCGACAACCAGGTTATCATCAACGCGGCGTGTCCGGGGTTCTGCAAGACGGATCTTGGACGGAACTTCTCACTGGTTTCCAAGATTTTCATGGGTCCAATCCAGTACTTCGTTGCGCGCACTGCCGAACACGGAAGTCGATCACTTGTCAGCGCGACTACCCTGGGCCTCGGGAGCATCGGGAAGCTGTGGCATGACGATGTAGTCCTCGAGTAAGTTTGGAAATTCTGGGGCAAGCTGAAAATAGAAAATGGAACGCTACTAATCCCGATGTTCTAGACCAAGCAAGCTGCAGGCTAGCGAGAGGGGTGCCGAATTGTACCGAGAGACGTGGGGCCAGATCTTGACAATCTTGCGCAAACATATTTCCTCCAAGGATGTTTGAAGGAGGGGTATATAGAAGGCTGTCTGTAGGTAGATCGCTAAGTTGGGGGCGCTCCGGGACTGTAAGCCGAGTGCATTGTCATACATGGCATGGATTATTCAAAGCCTTATACTCCGTACAACTATAATTATTATTATTAATATTATATTTCTCAGGCTTTTCACGACCCAAGTCGCATGCAGCCCCCTAGCTAGTGTGCACTGCACCCTTGAATATGTACACCGGATAACTTTATCGTGTTTATGATTGAGACCAAAAGGTTGGCGAATGAGGGGCGCTGAGATGTGATGCCCGAAGTGCAAATTTGTTTCATGTGGTGACTACCTTTGACCTTGACGTGTTTCCATGCTCTCCTATTCCGTTCGCTTATCCCCTCTATACTCTCCGGTTTACCGCCCAGTATGAACGACACACTACCTAAGTTGGAACCAGCTGCCTCAATAGGGGTGCGACGCTGTTCACTCCATCGCGCGCAAGATAACAAGAAGTGCGATGCGTCTCACGTTCGATATCACACGCGCATATGTTGCTATCGCTTTGGCCGATTCGATGAAGATGTCCGTTGAGCTTGGCGTGTCCCGTACGAAGTTGAGCTAATATGAATGCTTTCTCTCAGTCTAGACAATCATATAACATCTTCGTTTGAGATCCTGGGGGTGCTGAATCCAACTGGTGAACCGGCCTGTGGTTGACCGTGGGAAAATGTCTTTCCGGTGTTCAAAAGTCCATCGCAACACTGATACTCGGAGCTGGACCTTCGACCATGATGGGGGATCGGATTCCTTGTTCTCCATTGTTGCATCCCGTGCAAGGCTATGCGCTTGAGCCGTAATCTCTTCACCCTCATCCACTGGCACCCGCAGGTTGATGTTAGAGCCCATATCCGACAATTCGCTAATCCCCGCGGTGATCCAAGGCAGTCTTAACGAAAGACAGTCAATGGGACAGTCCTACTGTTAAAGCGTCGATTATGCTTTAAGGTTTTCTAGAAAAGCACATATTCTCCGCTGCGAGCTTTCCAAAGGTTCCAAAGGTTTGCGTGGGCAGCGGGCCCGGTAATGTTGATTGGTTCGACAATCGTGAGCGAAAAGTACGGCTAGTTGATGCTGAACAACGAGTGAATGAAGGCTGAACTCACTGTGGTATATTCAAAGGCAGTCTTTTTGTTTAAGTAGTTTAGAAGCAGAGAAATGATAAAGACTATTGTTTTTTGAGCAAGTGACTACATATGTAGTTATATATCCCTTTTGAAATGGTATCACTTAAGGCAGAAATGCTGAAGGCACTGTGTACTACGTAGATTTTTTTTAACTTCGATAGGATCGAGCCCGCTAGAACGAACGGTCACGTTGATCGCGCGAATCTTTTTTTTTGAATGGGCGATCTAAATAGGAAGGGTTGCACGTGAAGGGAAGTAAGCTGATCGCTCATAGGTATGATCAGTGGATCAGATTGCTCATGTGATGCCTATCTACATAGTAGGTAGCCGGGCTTCAGGGCTGCCCACCTGGGCAGAGTCAGATGGATGATGCTTAATCAGCTTATGTAATGATATGTGAGCGTGCTCAATTCTACTCTGAGATCAAAAAGCGGCAAGAGGTGAGTAGTAAAACGGAAAGGGAAAGAAAGGTCTCGAGTACAAGACATTATCCAGTATATAATGAAAATAAGTATAGCATTTTGTAACTTTACAATTTATAGACATAGTAATCCATATGGACATAATTGATATACAGAAATCTCTAACTAGCATCTCATATACAAAAATATGTTCAAAACAAGGCAATATCATCTTTATATCGAGTGGATTCTAATTCATGGGATGACGTTAGTGGGGGAAATCCAGACTCACCGCATTATGCGCCTCCCTGAATTTTTGTTTCTTCAATCTCTAGTTTTTTTAATTTTTTTTATATTTTTTTTAAAAAAACCCTTTTCCTGTTTGTGAATTCATATCATAACCCATTTCTGCAGGTCATATGTTCAATATCTTCTTGATCAGAACATTTCGTCCTATGTTGGGTTAAGTTCTGCTTCTTGTTCCTTTCCGGCTTCGGGGAATTGCCCCTAATCTTCCCGAGATCCCGTATTTGCTCCAATTCTTCATATAACATCAACCTCAAAAATGGCATCAAAAAGTGTCCGAAGCCAGCATAAGGCATTCGTTGCAAGTGTAAGTGGGTTTTCTCAGCGTCTTTTTTTACCCCATTTTTGATATCCGCGGGGTTGTCACTCTGCCGAGGCTAGCATTATGTGTATGTTGAGTTCCAAGGGATTATTTGATCTCTGATGTTGGAAGTATGAGGAATCTCATGGCTTTACTCCCATATGATGCAAAGACAAACAAGTAGAGGAGATTGTACGAGAGGTACTTTCACGAAATTCTACCAATATTGAAGTTTGGGTCTATCATACCTTCTATGCTTGTCTACCTTTTCTGTTTTCTTCTCTTTCCTGCCACCCCTTCACAATCATACGCTCTTGCAACCTTCATTCATTCAATTTTTTTTTTAAAAGAAATGTCAGCTGTTAACTTTGCTACACAGTCCGACGATTCAAAGATATGCGTTGTCATGGTGGGCCTCCCAGCCCGAGGCAAGAGTCTCATCGCCGGCAAGGGTCAGTGTGAACAGCCATCTACAAAGAACATGTGAGACTGACTTGTAACAGCCATGCGATACCTGGGTTGGGTCGGTATCCCTGCGCGTGTTTTTAATGTTGGTAGCTATCGCCGCTTCAGCACACCACAACCACAGGCGGCCTTCTTTGATCCCCACAACGAAGAAGGCGAGCGTATGCGCAGAGCTGCCGCCGAGGCTGCCATGTCTGACATGATTCAGTGGTTTAACACCGGAAAGGGTGTTGTGGCTATCCTGGATGCTACCAATTCCACAAAGGAGCGCCGCAAGTGGATCTATCAGAAATGCCATGAAGCTGGTATCGAGTGTCTCTTTGTTGAGTCAATTTGTGATGACGAAGATCTGATCATGACCAACATCAAGGAAGTCAAGACAACATCCCCAGACTACAAGGGCCAAGACCCTGAAGTGGCTGCACTTGATTTCCGCAACCGCATTCGCAACTATGAAAAGGTGTACGAGACAATTGATGATAACGAAAAGCATTACACTTATGTCAAGCTTATCAATGTGGGATCAACGGTCATCATCAACCAGATCAAAGATTATCTGTCCAGTCGTCTAGTCTATTATATCCAGAATATTCACATCAAGCCTCGCTCAATCTGGCTATCAAGGGTAAATTAAATATCAAAATCTACAGACTGTTTCGAATACTGACGAAAATTAGCATGGTGAATCCGAGTTCAACCTGACCGGCCGGATTGGAGGCGATTCCAACATCTCCCAGCGCGGTGAGGCCTACGCCCGCGCACTCCCCGAATTGATGCGCAAGTCCGGTATCCCCGATGACACCAAGATCGTGATCTGGACCTCAACCTTGGGCCGCACTATTCAGAGTGCTCGTCACCTGAAGGCAGAGACTGACTACGAGAAGTTGGAGTGGAAAGCCCTGGATGAGCTGGACTCGGGCGTCTGCGACGGTTTGACCTACGAGCAAATTGCTGAGAAGTACCCAGAGGATTTCGCCGCCCGCGACGAAGACAAGTACAACTACCGCTACCGCGGCGGTGAGTCCTACCGTGACGTCGTCATCCGGCTTGAGCCCATCATCATGGAGCTGGAACGCAGTGAGAATGTCATCATCGTTACCCACCAGGCTGTCCTCCGCTGCATTTACGCCTACTTTATGAATGTCCCCCAGGAGCAGAGTCCCTGGATGGAGGTGCCTTTGCATACCCTTATCAAACTCACGCCTCGCGCTTATGGTACTGAAGAGCAGCGCTTTAAGGCCGATATCCCGGCTGTGTCGACCTGGCGTGGGAAGGGGAGCTCGGCAAGGCACCAAGATTTTCCCACGGAGGGAGGAAAGAAAGAGGACACGGAGACGAAGCACTAGGGATGTGTTGATCTGCATCGGCGTGGCGTCACCTGGATGTGATCGGAATTCGGACTGCATGAGATATTCAGATACCAAAAAACATGCACATGTGGTTCTTCTTTGGTTATACATTACATACTTTAAAATTTATTCTTCAAGCCATGTTCTTCGTGGGTTTATCATAAAAATCTTCTCGATGGAAAGATGCACTTCATTTCGACACAGAAATGACACGATTACATGACATCTGGGCAACCCCCAAACAACTTAGCGATATCCACTTTTTCAGCTACATACCACTTGCTTTGAATGAACTACAACCCAGCAGCTATCATTCCATTTCAAGCAGGGAGAACTTGTAAGTACAGAAAAAGCCAAGGTTCCATCCCCAGGGCCCAGCCTAGGTGGCAGGTGGGCACCTGGGCAGCCAGATATATGCTGACTCAGAACTGACTCAGCCCCGGACGTCATGCGGAGAGCTCCAACAGCAGCGCCCCTCGAACCTCCAGTGGAAGGAATTGAAGACAGCACGCCCATGTTGTCAGCATTTACCGCGCGGCCGCTCGTGGAGCTCAAGCCGCGCGACAAGTCCCGCATCGAATCGGTCCTAGCCTACGGCGATCGCCTCCTCGCTGGCTTGAACAATGGCAACCTCCGCATCTATCGCGTCACCGACGATGGCAAGACCGAGCTTCTCCGCGAACTGGAGAAATTCTCTCGATACAAGATTGAACAGCTCGCCTTGATTAAGGAGGCTAACGTGCTGGTTTCTCTTTCTGGTGGTTATGTCTCGCTCCACGATGCGCAGTCCTACGAACTTGTTGAACAACTTGCTCAAACGAAGGGCGCTTCTGTCTTTGCCATCACGTCGAATGTTGTCAATGATGCCGATACAAATGTTCCTGCTATTGTCTCACGATTAGCAGTCGCTGTCAAGCGGAAGATTCTTATGTGGGCATGGCGCGACATGGAGCTGGAACGGGATACAGCTGAGCTGAGCTTGGTTAGTGGGGTCAAGACTCTCACCTGGGTTGCAGCTACACGGCTAGTGGTTGGACTGAATTCGAGCTTTGTTATGGTCAATATTGAAAGTGGACAGTTCACGGATCTGGCTGGGCCGGGCAGCATTGAGGAATCGGGCCGGTTCACTGGCGTTGGCGCCGCGAGCATGAGCTATATTGGCATGGGAGGAATGGTACCACGGCCGCTTGTGACAAGACTGCGTGAAGGTCAGATTCTTCTGGCTAAGGATGTCAATACGAATTTCATCGATGTCGAGGGCCAACCTCTCGGACGGAAGCAGGTGCCTTGGAGCCATGCGCCGGTGGAACTTGGATATTCATACCCGTTTTTGTTGGCTTTACATGACTCATCCAAGGGTGTCTTGGAAGTACGCAACCCGGAGACCTTGTCGCTACTGCAGTCTATTCCGTTGCCATCGGCTAGTATCTTGCACATTCCGCAGCCAAATATCAGCCTTGCCCATGCCGGTAAAGGGTTCCTTGTGGCGAGTGATCGCACTATCTGGCGCATGGAAGCTCTGAGCTATGATACCCAGATTGATGCTTTGGTTGAGGGTGGTTATTTAGATGAGGCCATCAGTTTACTCGGTATGCTGGAGGATGCTCTCTTACAGGATAAGCCTGGTCGACTTCGCACAATTAGGCTTGAAAAGGCGCAGAGCTTGTTTGCCTTGAACAAGTACCGGGAGTCGTTAGATCTTTTTACTGAGGTGTCTGCACCTCCCGAGAGTGTTATTCGCCTCTACCCTCGCTTAATTGCGGGAGACCTCTCTACGGTCCCGGAGCCTGAAGCTCCGAATGGAAAGGCGAACGGGTCCCAGAGTGACGGTTCATCTGATGACGTTGCTGCTGGACAGACGTCGACACACGCAGCCTCTATTATATCTTCTGTGCGAAAGCCTGATGAAGGAAGCGAAGCTAGCAGTATCCGTGGGGACGAGAAAGGTACAACAAGCTCCCATTACCTTTGGGTCCATGCTAACTAATTATAGGTCTTCGAATTGCTGTCCGCGAGCTACAGGGGTATCTGGCAGATGTTCGCCGACGCTTCCAGCGTTTCCTCAATCCCGATGGATCTCTCAAAGCTGCTCCGCCAGTTGAAGCCACAGATGAGGCAAGTGATTCGGTTCTTAAGCTACTAGATTTTCCATCTGCCGATGAATTTGTCACACGAATTTGTGCGAAGGCACGGTTAGTCGACACCACTTTATTCCGTGCACACATGTTCGCGACGCCATCACTAGCTGGATCCCTATTCCGCATTGCCAACTTCTGTGACCCAGGAGTTGTCATGGAGAGACTGGAGGAGACTGGTAGGTATAACGACCTAATTGACTTTCTTTATGGCAAGAAATTACATCGCCAAGCCCTTGAATTGCTCCAGCGCTTTGGACAGACAGATAACGGTCCTCTGAGCGGTCCAACACGCACAGTCGCTTATCTTCAAAGTCTACCGCCAGACCAAATTGATCTGGTGCTCGAGTTCGGAGAATGGCCGCTTCGTGCCAACCATGAGTTGGGGATGGAGATATTCCTGACCGACACTGAAAATGCTGAGACATTGCCCCGTCCACAAGTCCTCGCATTCCTTGAAAAAATAGACACCGCTCTTGCCATTCGATACCTCGAGCATGTTATTAATGAATGGGACGACATGACGCCAGACATACACCAGCGGCTGCTCGTCTTATATTTAGATCAACTTACGTCCAACAACGAGCAAGGGGAATGGAAGGAGAAGTTCTTGACAATGTTGAAAGAAAGCGAGCAATACTCGCCAGCGAAGATGTTAGATCGGCTAGATCGAGAGGGTATGTTGCACGCTATTTCCGTGAAACAAGCCATCACTGACATATCCCAGATCCCAACTTCTACGAAGCCCGAGCTATCCTATTTAGCAAGATGGGCCAGCACCGACAGGCACTCAAGATCTACGTTTTCAAACTTGCGGACCATGAGAAAGCAGAAGAGTGAGCGATCTATCATTTCCCCCAGAGCAGCAATTGCTAACCCCAGAAAGATACTGCAACCAAGTCCACCTCGCCGAAAAAGCCGAAGAAGATAATTCCATCTATCTCACTCTCCTTTCTCTCTATCTCTCCCCGCCCCACGGCTATGAGCCCCAGAACGACCCCGCGATTGACCTGCTAGCCAAGCACGGCTCACGCCTCCCAGCTGACGCCGCATTGAAACTCATACCGGACAAACAGGCCGTGCAGAAACTTGAATTCTATTTCAAAGGCCGCATGCGCGCCGCAAACTCGGTATTTAATGAAGCGCGTATCGTGGCAAACCTGCGAAAGTCACGAGATATGCAGATCCAAGCCCAGCTCGCTCTTGGTGAGGGAATTCGTGGTGGAGGCACACGGGCTCGCCACGTTACTGTCACCGAGGAGCGAATTTGTGGCGTCTGCCATAAGCGTTTGGGTGGGAGTGTGATCAATGTTTTCCCCGAGTAAGTCGTTTGCGATCATTTTATCTTCTTGCTCTGTTCACCGCTGACTTGTTTTCAGTGATACCGTGGTTCACTTGGGATGTGCCAGTCGAAGAGCCAGTGTCCGAGCCGGGTAGTGTCCTTGCTCTCCTGCATCTGCATTCGCGGGGGTCGTTCTTGTTTTTGTTCATGTCCTTCACTTTCCATTTTCCGTTTCTCCTTTTCGCTTTCCGATTCAAGGTTCTATTCTCATTTGGTTTTTTTTTTGTGTCGATGGAGGCTATCCCAGCGACTTTGATACCCATAGCATCTGCCCGTTTCAAGATACATCCTGGTGATGCGATTATGCATCGTCCTCAACCAACTCCTCTCCGTAATTTTCCTCCTCCTTAACTTCCTGTGCAGAGAGCTGGCCCTGTGACTTCTTGTCTTCTTCCATGCGCTCCGTAAGGAATATGTTGATTTGATCCTGCAACTTGGGCACGAGCGACTGTAACGCTAGGAGGTGGGCTTGCTTAGCCGCTAGTGTTCCGGTTGTGGTTGAGATCACATGTTCAAAGGTCTCGGTGGATTGAGGGGCGGTGTATACTGCACTCAGGCTCGTGTTGGAGGCCATTTTGAAATTTAACAGGGAAGATGGGGAAATTGGGGAAATTGTTTGGAGGGGGGAAGATGGGCAGATAATAATGTCCCCAGTTAATGGATGCCGCCTTTCTTACCGCCTTCTCTGATCTAAGCCCGACTTCGGGCCTCTTAAGGCTTGGCCTTCCTCCGCCCTGGAGAAGTTCAAGTATGAATACTCCATACCAAGAGTATATACTGAATATTACTGGAGGATAGTAGATGTACTTTGATAATCATACGGTAGCATTGCCGAGGCTAATCTCTATTGAGTTCGAGTAAAACAGTAAGACCTAGTCTGGATGCGGCCTTGAGGGGCTGGATATAATAGAAGAAGTTGTGGAAATATGACGGAAAAGGGATGAGGAAGTATATACCAGATGTAAAAGTGTTAAGCGCGACATAAAGGATATATAAGCAAAGCTATAAAAACTTGCTGGGTTCAGATCATAAGCTTAGCCTCCTTGAAAAGTCTCCGCATATTTCGTAGATCTCAGATTCTGCCAGATAGAGGTCATAGAGGAAGGGATCGGCGACTGGCCAGGTGTGGCTTTTGTAACGTAAAAAAAAACTTCGCGCCTAAAAGATAACTCGCCTAAAAGAGGTAGAGAGCATGGACTATTCGTTATGAATCCTACCTTCCGATCCCCTAACTCGCCTGAGCGTCAAGTACCTCCTGCCCCTCGCTACCCCCGATCTCCCTCTGATGACGAAGTGGAAGACGATTCCGATGAAGACGAATTGGTTCGCCCTGGATCCTCCGATAGTGACGCCTCTTCTAATGTGACCACCGTTTCTGCCGCTCCTATCACTCCGATCAATACTCAACTCCCTCCCGGGAGTTACTTCCCTCCACAACCACGCTCGGCCACCTCACCTCATCGCCCCATGCCGAATCCAACAGGGCGAAAGCCCTCCAGCCGGGGTCCCTCTCTCGAGTTACCCCGGCATCGATCACGGCATCACTCGCAGGGGTTCTTTGAGCCTTCCTTGCCGACCACCTCCTCCGACCAGGTCCCTACCGTGTCAGCCTCCCGTATCGCCGCCCAGGCAGCTATGCAGCAGACAAAAAGGCAAAATGCTATAACCCAGATAGAGGATGGATCTCGTCCCAGACGCAGTGGAAGCGGAAGCGTCTCGCCTCCTCCCGTGCCTGCTCCATTGCGTGTCAATCAACCCTCCCCCCAACCGCCTCCGTCACTAGGGAACGTGGCCACGACAGCTGCAAATGTGGTCTTCCCGCGAGCTGGTGCTCCACCGGTGGAACAACAGCCCGAGAAACAAAAGAAGAAGAAGCTATTCTCGAAGCCAAAACACATCGGAATCAGCAGTCATAAGGATCTGGGCAAGGACCGTGGTCTTCCCTCCCCAAGCAAGATCAGTGGGTTATCGCGTATGGTCAGCAGCTCGACTACAAACCTGAACGACTTGTCCTCGAACAACTCGTCAATGTACAATCTGTCTAATGCCTCCGTGAGCACAGTTGTCCCCGCAGATCGCCCATCGCTTCCAGAGAAGGAAAAGGATAAGGACAAAGACAAGCACAAGCATCATTTCCTATCGAGGCAGAAGCTCAAATTAAAAGACCGCGTCGATGACCACTTCAACCTCCCTCTATCATCGGCTTCGAGTAACTCTCGTCCGGCAGACCCCAATGCGCCACAATCTTTATATTCCTTTACACCTGCGTCTCCGGCTCCTGGAGCGACCTTTGGCAAGTCAGTCAGTGGGCTGGATCTCCTGCATGGTGGTCGAGCACTACGCGAGAAGAAAAAGGAAGAGAAGGCGCTGGCTGAGTCAGAGCAGATGGAATGGCTGGCCAATAATGCTGGCGGACCCACGACACCCGGTGGCTTCCCAGGCCCGTCTTCAGTTGGTAGTTCAGGGACATTCCCTGAGTCTATGCTCCGGGAGACCTTACAAGGGTTCGGGTTGAATAACATGACCCCAGAGGATGCGTGGGACTTTCTTAAGGCGAAGTTGCTGGTCATCTTCGACGGTGAAGACGTGCGCATTGCCATTGAAGATCTCAATAAGCTGGTGCTCGTTCATTTGCAGCGTTGTGTGGTTAAGAGGGCTCCTGCGTCGATTGTGATAGACCTGCAAGAACTCCTACACACTGGATTTGCGACTTTGAATCACAGTTCGCTAGTTGGCCTCCCAGATGAAAAGCTGGTCCCGCATCTGGTTCAAGTTTGGCTTCTGGTGTTTGGCACGATTCTACCCTTCATCCAGGCTGTTTTTCTCCCCTTGGATCTCGAGTTCAAGGGCTGTGGATCCTTGATGACTAGCCGAGAAGCCGGTGAATTTTGGGGTGCACTGCCTGTTGGCGGGACACTAGATGTGCGGAGTCTAGTCTTGATTGCCTTCCGTGACTGCATCATCATGAATCGCTACGATGCCCTCAAAGCAACCTTCTCCCGGCTCAGCCTAGACTCCATTAACTCCGGATTCCCAATGCTTAGCGTCACAGCCAAGAGTACCGGCACTGGAGGCCGTCCTGGCACTGCAGCCTCGCTCGATGCCGGCTTAGGTAGCTTCAACTCGCAGTCATCCACGCTTCTCAGCACTATCGCTGACAGTTGCTCATCCGACGGCGTGAGCTCCCTGGCCAACCACCCACGTCCAACAAGCAGTGACTCTCGGAGTCGGGCTACCTCGAACACATCTTCCAACGTGGACCCACTCTTCTTCCAGTCCATTGCATCGCCACCAACCTCCAACAACCGGCCTACCATTATCTACCGTGGCACATCTACCGACTCATCCCATGTCATCACAGAGACTGTCGGCCGCATGCTGCAATGTATCAGCGTCCTGGCCAGCGTACAAACGGACGATTCTGCCCAGGAGCGGATCGATATTCTTAGCAAATCTCTGAAACACAACTGGCTCGGCCGAGGCCGCACAGGCCGTGATCGTCGTGGCTTTGTTGGTGCCAAGATCCGACCTGTGATGGTCGGCGGTCCCCCTGCTATCGATGATGCAGAGTCACTCACTACGGCTGGTATCAGCATCGGTGCTAGTACTAGCACAGGTGGATCCCGAGGTCGAGGTGACTCGTCCTCGTCAGAATGGAGTTCTAATGTTCCAGGGCCTAACGTGAGACGAGAACTGAGTGTTCTCTAGCTGTTTTCTTCTAGGTACTCGTTATGATTATATGACGGCGGGTGGGTACTTTGGCAATAAAGGGGCGTTTCTGTTTTTTTCCTAAAGGAATTGATATCCTCTCTCGGGCATTGTCGAACAATTTCATCTATACCATTCTACTCCGTACATATGTACTCTGTAGGGAATTGCGTAAATCTTACAATGGTTTTTTTTTCTGTTTTTGAAATTGTAGATAAAGTATTTTTTTTTTTTGGCGGTTTTTGTTTTTTCCCCCTGTTTTTTGATGCTTTTGACTCGAATGTGAAGGGAGTCACCTCCAACAATAAATCCAACAATCAATTGTCACATATGGCACCCAGGGCCCGGCCAACTAGCCACTGAGTAAATCATCGATATGTATCCATATCCATCAAAAATGGATGGCGCCTCACCTCGCCATTCACCTCAATTAACTTAAACATTCAAAGGCGAAAGGCTTACTTGCGAGCCCTTCCCTTACCCTTCACATTGACCTTGCCAGATTCCTTGAGGACGTTGTATCGACTCTGGCATACCGTGCTGGGGATCTCCCAGCCAATCTCAGTTGAAACATCCCTAGCAATCTGCCCAAAGCCATCGTCATCCAGCTCTGACTCGAACTCCCGTATGGTATTCAGGAGGACGTCCTGTTCAAAGGTCAGTAATCGGACGAATAAAACATCTTCCCATCCCCAAATAGAGAAATTGAGGCCACAAAAAGGCTAAATGTATACACACGTCGAAACCGGGCCAAACACCAATCTTATCCTTAATGCGTCCCCATCGCTTGCTTAGCGCTCGCCATGTCATCTCGTCATCGTCGACATTTCGGTTTTCATTCCATGCTGTAGTGATGTCCATCCACGACGACGACGCCGTCTCTTTCATTTGTGACATCATCTTGTCTGCAATAGGCGCTGTCTCCCATGACTCTGGGGTTGCGTTGCCCTTACCGATCTTCTTCGTGCTGGAACTGGGATTGACGTCAGCGCTGCGTAGGCGGCGCGGCGAGACGGTGACCTGGGGCTCTGGAGTAGCTATCTCAGTCTTTATGTTGCCTTTGGAACGGCGACGAGATGATGCTGAGGTGGGTGCAGGTGTCACGGGCTGATTCTTGGAACGGAGACGCGTTGAGGTTGACGTAGACGAAGGAGTCATGGTCTTGATCCTAGATGAGGCGCTACGGCGCTGAACCAATACCGAAGTTCTAGTCGAAACTGTGGTTGACAGCTCTGGGCTCGAGCTCTTTGTTTTGGGTGAACTGTATCGGGCACGCTTCGTGGTTGATCCTGGGCCTGCCTCCTCTACAGACTGCAAGGTCCGAGTCGGAACCTCGGACGTTTCCCTGAAACTAGGTGAGGCAGCTTGGGCAGAAGCGTATTGAGCACGAACCGATCCATCTACATCAGGTATAGAAGGTTGAATCAGATAAGGCCGAGGAGGGCCGATAGAGTTCCAATATCCAGGCTGTAGAGACTCCATGCCTTCAGTGGCAGCATCAATCTCAGAAAGGACACGGTCCATATCAGCAATTGTCATGAGCGGCAGCTCTTCTGCTCGGCCACACATATGCGTTGGATTGTCGGTATGGGGATCAGCCATTTGATGCAGCACCTCTTGCTCAGACGCTAGGATGCGTCCATACTCCCCAGGATAGTAGACGCCCATGGGGTCAATGACCCAATCGCTGTAGTCATGAGCCTCTTCGGGGTATATGAATGTGGATGGGAGGACATTTGGGTCTCCAAAGGGGGTGATATCTGGCATTACCGCTGAATCAGATGGCTGATAAGGGTCCACTGAAGGCTCGATTGAAGCACCCATTAGAGAATCCGCTGGGTTCAAGGGAGTAGAAGGGACGAAATCCAGTGTATCAGACGGGTAACCGCTGTAGCCGAACGGAGCTTTGTCGGAGCTTGACCTAGGACTAGGAGATGCGCCGGTAGCCGGAAGCTCTGAAGTCGGATTGATACTAGTGGATGCCTCGTCATGATCAGAAGAAGACTCATGAGATGTGCTGAAAGCACTAGAGTTAGAAGGATCCATACTAAACTCTGGGATGAAAGAGGACTCAGCCGACGTGTTTTCAATAGGTCTCAGCTGATTAGAGTCGATATTGGATGAGTGAATTCCGGGTTTGGTGGGAGACGAAGGATACTCTCTGCTGATAGGGCCAGATGGAACAGTCAAGGGAATGGATTCCAAGGTGGACTGCCGAGGTCTCTTGTTGAAAACGAATTTTATCCTAGGAGTGGTAATTCGAGTCACGTCCTTGGAGGGTCCCTCTGCTTTCCCAGAGTCTGGACCAGTGCTCAAATCCGGGGTGGCCTCGCGAGGTCTGTTTTTGAGAACAAGTTTCAGCTTGATAGGAGGGGTAGTTCGAGTCGCGTCCTTAGAGGGTCCCTCTGTATTCGCAGAGTCTGAGCTAGTGCTCGAGTCTGGGGTGGTCTCGCGGGGTCTCTTGTTGACACCGAACTTTATCCTGGGAGTGGCAATGGGAGTCACGTCCTCATAGGGTCTCTCTGCATTGAGTCTGCATTAGTTTCCTGGCAATGGCGAGTTTTGATAAAAGCACGAGGGGTATCACGGGAAGAAACAATGTGACTCGCTGTAGGTAGGTACTGAGAACTATCTCCAAGAGCAAATTGAACTTGAGTAGTTGTCTGATGAGAACGGGTGTTCTGTCGAGGGGACTCGGAAGAAGAAGAATTGGAAGTTTTGGACTCCGAACCAGATGGGAGTGAATGTAGATCAGGCACAGGCAAAACAGGTTCGCGGTCAAATTGATTATCGTCAGTGGTTAGCTGATGGGGAGGATGAATCTTGAAGGAATAATGTTGGCAACAAGACAAAATAACTGAAAATATCGAAACTTACAGACGTGTGAGGCCGAGGGGTAGGAGACCCAGGCTCAATTGATTCTTGTGAATCCTCTTCAGGAATAGATGGCGTGCCACTGGTCTCCCGGCACAGTTGAACCAACAGAGCTGGGAATAGATCCCTGTTGGTGTTGTCACCATCCATATCTGAAGGGAGGTGATGAAGTTACATGCGGTATCTTCGCGTTTTACTATTATATAGATAGGCCTGTACCGTATATTTTGACGACATAATCATCCTGACGATGTAAGCAATGGTTATTCCTCCCTCAATCGTCCTCCCTCGCTCTGCCCAGTCCTGATGTCACATCTTCAGTTAGAATGTCCCTAATATGGAATACCTACATATTTATACAGTAGGAATATATGGATTGCCCATAGGACCTAATCCGGTAACTCTGTTAATGAAGACCTTTGAACATCAGTTCAATTCTTTTCTCTAAAAACTCATATGCACAGCTTCAACAACAAATGCTTACAATCCATAGGGAGCATCCTTTCCAAGGCAGGAGGTTTAGCAACAGACCAGGTGTAGACCAGGTGTAGGCTTTCATTTACTAGCTTCGTTCACTAGCTTCGTTCATTGGCTTCGTTTAAATAGCTTCTTAATTCTGGCTACTGAATTGTTGAACTGTTGAACTGTTCAACTACCGAGCTTAAACCCCTTCATATATCGGAGAATCGGTCTATAAATTCATGACCAAGTCAAGACCTGAGCCCTCCCTGGAGCTTTGCAGGATAAACCACCGGTAATCAGGGCGACGTCTGAGTTTCTGAACTTGTCACTTTGTTGATTGTCCAATTTCTTGTCCTTTATATTCAGTCTCGATTTCCGTTATGATATTTGGTTCATTTGTTGTACCCATGTTGTTGGACCTTTGATTCAACCTTGACTTTGGTCTCTTTCAAGACTTCTGTTACTTTAAAGATCAGTTTCATTCCATGATAATACCAAGACATCCCCTTAACACATCCCTGGGGGTGATACAGGGATATCCATCAAATCAGTAGAAGAGTAGAACATGCAAGTTCCCAAAATATGTCTAGAACTGTTTTACATTCAAAGAACTACATATATGTATGTCTATTAATGATAATCACTATTACATAGCTGTCCAACCGTGGCGCTTAGTATGAACAGCGGATTGGCCAAGATTTAGGGCTACAAAAGATACGAAAGAAAATAAAACAGATTTCAAGATATTTAGGCCCAAAGACTGGGCAGTTTAATAATAAGTACACCGTATATTTACAATAATAAGGCAGACCAGCACATAGATTCGTGGGGCCGACTGATTGGCTTCAGGGCTGCAGCCTGCGCAGCCTACGCATCGTGATGCGTCGTGATGCCTCTCCTCTCACTTAAAATGCGTCTCACCCACAGCCCCATTCTCTTTCTTCTTTGCATTTTTGTCTTTCTCTTTTTTTTTATACATATATATATTCACTTTCCCTTTTATTCACTACGGAGTATTTAGTCCTCTTTTCTGCTTCTTCCCAACTTTTAAATCTCCAATTTTCCTCTCCCAACTCTCTCCAACTTCCCCGGCTTACGGCTTACAGCCTATAGCTTGCAGCTCACAGCTTACCTTCCACTGAACTGCTGTCATGGATCCCACTTCTACTCCAGCTGAGGCCAAAGATGAAGTTATTTCAGAGAACCTGAATGGTTCAGCCCAGTCTACAGAAGTCAAAGAAGTAAAAGACGTTGCTGTCGCCCCCGCACCGGAAACTACCCCTGCCCCTGCCCCCAAACTGTGCAAAAAACACAAAAAGAAGAATAAGAAAAAAGATGAAAGTGATAGCTCATCTGGGTCTTCTTCTTCTTCTGACTCCGACAGCGATGTCGACTCTGAGGAAGAATCCGGTTCTAGCGAGAGCGACTCCGACAGCGAGAAACGCAAGCGACATCGGACACGAAAGGCGCGTGCTAGGCGTGCGCTGAAGGATAAGAAACGTCGCAAGAAGAAGAAGCAACGGTCGCGCAAGGCTGAGGCGTCGGATTCGGAATCCGACCCTTCCTCTGAGTCAGACTCGGAGGTTTCTACTGACTCCGCTGACGAGATAGATGACAAGGCCCTGCGGAAATTAGTCACCAAGCTCAAGCTTAGTAAAAAACGAGCTAAGAAGCTACGTGAACTGGCTTCTGATGATTCGGCCGCAAGTGATCCTTTGGGCGAAACTCGCCGCGAGAAGCGGTCTAAGAAGAAGAAGCCGGCTTCAAAGGTGGCCTATAAGCGTGTAGATCAATGTGAGTTCTTATTAAATCTCAAGCCTTGGATTTTAATTGCTGACTTGTCGCAGTATGGGATACCACTATCCATAAGTACAAGCTCACGGAAACTGTGGATGATCCCGATGCCGACGAATGGGATCAATATATCTTCAACATTCGTCGCAAGTTCAACTGGGAGAACAAGTATCTTGAGACTGTCGTCGATATCAAGAGCAAGCCCCTCCGCGATGCCCTCTCTAAGATCATGGATGGCGTCAAGGGCGTCAGTCTCGTGCAAGAGCCTGCCGTTGTCGATCCCAATATGCTGTTCCTGTATCTGGAGGAAACAAGGCAGTACATGAAAGATTTGAAGAAGCAGTCGCGCAACGAGAAGAAGAGAAAAGCCAGAAAGGCTGCTGCCACTAAAGCTGCCCATCTGAAAATTCTCGTCAAATACCTCGACACCGACTATGCAGACATCAAGAAGACTCTCTACCCGTTGCTCGAGGCCAACACCATCACCTTCGATCTGTTGTGGGCTCTGTACAAGCCCAACACCATTGCTTACACCCCAACATACGGTAGCTCAGATGAACCACGTGCTTTCAAAATCGAATACGCTATCAAAGAGTCCTCCTTCATGAAGGGCCAGTGGTACAGTGTCGATGGCCGCTATCTCGAGTACGATGGCAAGGACTATGGCTTTGGCACTATGTCTGCTGAAGTCGATTCCTTCAAGGGCGCTCGCAAGATCACTAGTCTCGCCTGTTACCCGTTGAAGTACCACCGTGACGCTGAGGCTTTGCGTGCTCGTCTCATCGAACGTGGCAAGCGCTTCGTTGCCCTGCGTGGTATGAACTACCGCTTCCATAAAGGTATGGCCTTCTACAAGAAAAAGCGCTCCCTCATCATCAAGGTCAATATCAATGGCCGCGTCATGATCGACCCCGCTATCCACCGTCGCATCAATCCTAACTATCCTATCTCCACTGTCCGTCCTAAGGATCCAGATCTCATAGATTCCGAAGATCTTGGGATCAGTGGTGACGAGGGTGATGATAGTGATGGCTGTTGCTGTGGCGGATCAGACTCGGACTCCGAGCATGGCGGTGCCTCTGACACCCCGCGGACGATGTACAAGGTCGTAGAGGATACGGATGGCTGTCCACGCGTCGTGGAGGTCGAAGTTGATGAGAACGGCGCCGAGATCCAGAAAGAGAAGATGGACCGCATCGAAGGTGCTGCTGCAGATACCAAGGAGCGCGAGTTCACCGAGGAGGAACTGCTTGTTGCCTCTCCCGTCGTTCTGGGCTTCGCATTCAGCGAGAAGCTCTGGCTAGAGTTCACTATCTCCGGTATCAGCGATATTGAGTGGGATAAGGATGCCTTTGGCTCCCTTGTGCTCCCGGCGAACCAAAAGTCCATCGTCAAGGCACTCGTCGAGTCGCATACCTTCCACGCGGCGCAGAACATCGACGATGTCATCCAGGGCAAGGGTAAGGGTCTGGTTGCCGTGCTGCATGGTCCACCCGGTACGGGTAAGACCCTGACGGCAGAGGGCATCGCCGAGCTACTCCGTCGCCCGCTGTACATGGTCAGCGCCGGTGAACTGGGTACTGACTCGCGGACCCTTGAGGCTGAACTGAACAAGATCCTGGATATCGCGCACTCCTGGGGCGCAGTGCTTCTCCTCGATGAGGCAGATGTTTTCCTTGAGAAGCGTACTATCCACGATATCCACCGCAATGCCCTTGTCAGCATCTTCCTTCGTCTGCTGGAGTATTTCCAGGGCATTCTGTTCTTGACTACCAACCGTGTTGAAACCTTCGACGATGCCTTCCAGTCACGGATCCATGTTGCCTTACGCTATGGTGATCTTACTTCTAAGGCAAAGAGAAGTATTTGGAAGATGTTCCTAGAGCGCGTGAGAGCCATCGAGGGTGTACATATTGCTTCTTTCTCCGAGGAGGATTATGATATGCTTTCCAGGCACACGCTGAATGGGCGACAGGTATGCTTACTGGTTTTATTCTTCTTCTCTTACCCTATACTCCCCTTCTAGTTTACAGACTAACCGGTATACCGTCAGATTAAAAACTCCGTCCGCACCGCACAAGCTCTGGCCGTCAATGAGAGCGCGCCCCTTTCCATGGAGCATATCAAGCGCGTGCTAGAGGTGGCCGAGACATTCGATCAAGACCTACGCGGAGGAACGGGATACCTGGACGCCATGCGGAGCTATACTTGATTGATTCTTCATGATTTCCGATCATCTCGGCGAATTTGCTAGGATCAGTGCAGATCTGGCATTCTATTTACTTTTCCTTTTATGTTTGCTTTTCGTATTTGCTTGTTGTTTTCGGTTCATCTCAGGTACAGAGTATTCAGTTGCGATGTCTCTTTTTTTCTTTTTCTCTTTCTTTTTCTTTTCCTTTTTCTTCTTTGCATTGCGGACATGGAGTGAATGAGCTTAGGTATGTAGTTTTCAAAACATCATATGTTGAAAATCGGTGGTTATAAGTCAGGGTCGGAGTAGGATCGTAGTATAGACCGATTTATGGATTAGAATGGATAATCGATCTAATAAAGAACATTGTCATACACTTTCATTATTACACAAACAAAAGTCACGACGAGATATGGATAGTTGTACATGGAATTTTTCAAGGGTTGGCCTTGACGAAGTCAACACCCTTCTGGATGTTCTTCTTCAGGTCAGCCAGACAGGCATCGAGGAGACCCTGCTCGTACTCGCTGATCTCGCCAACGGGGTGAATCTGCTCAACACCGTTGGGGCCGAGCTCGACGCGGGAAGCGAAGAAGTCGATACCCTGGTCCTTGTACAGAGGGGAGTCGACAAAGGTGGGCTCGATGACACCCTTCTCGCCCTGAGCAGCGCGGAGGAGAGACTCGGCGAAACGGGCACCGGCCATGGCCATGGAGAGAGTGGCGGAACCGGCACCGTCCTTGGCCTTGACAACCTCGTCACCACCGAACTGGATGCGGTTGACAAGGGCATCGCGGGCCTCGCCGGCGATGGAGGAGTGGTTGGACTGCGAAAGCAGGGGGACGATGGTCACGCCAGAGTGGCCGCCAACGACGGGGACAGCCTCGCCGGAGGGGTTGGTCTTCTGGACCTGCGAGATGAAGCGCGAGGCACGAACGACGTCAAGGGTGGTGACACCGAACAGACGCTTGGGGTCATAGACATTGCGGGCCTTGTAAACCTCGGCGACGATGGGGACGGTGGAGTTGACCTTTGATAATGGAGGGTTAGTAGGGGATCTTAATTGTGAGCCGATTATTGTGACTTACGGGGTTGGCGATGACCAGGACGTGGGCCTTGGGGGCGGCCTCAGCGGCGGCCTTAGCGAGGTCGCGGACGATGGAGGCGTTGGTGTTGAAGAGGTCATCACGGGTCATACCGGGCTTGCGGGGAACACCGGCGGGGATGAGGATGATCTCGGCGCCCGAGAGGCAGTCATGGAGACCGGAAGCATCGGGGGTGTAGCCAGTAACGGTGCTGTTAGTGTTGATGTGGCTCAAATCAGCAGCAACACCTAAACTAGCAGTCAGTAATTAAGTTGTGCTGAATGAGTAAAAACATGTTCATACCGGGTCCACCACGGATATCGTAGAGAGCAAGCTCAGAGACACGGGGGTTGAGCTTCAGCAGCAGCGAGAGAGGCTGGCCAATACCACCGGCGGCACCGAGAACGGCGACCTTGGAGGCCTGCGGGAGAAGTTAGCTTAATTGAAGGTTAGAAGATAGAGAGGTGGATGTTTTTCACGGACATTAATAGCGGAGGCCGAGAAGGCACGCTTCTGGAAGAGGTTGACAGTACGACGAGCGGCAAACATGATGGATATTTGTTTGAGGATGTGTAGAAGAGGAAGAGAGAAGGGGAAGGAGGAGATTCCGGTGAAAGAGATTGGCTGGGGCTCCACACCAGTTTCCGCTCTCCCGAGTTCCCGATGCTCGGCTGAGCTTTTGGGATTTTTTGTACTTTGTACTTTGCGGAAATTGTAGAAATTGGAGAAATTGTAGGAGTAGGAATTATACTCTGTACTCCGTAGGAATGGAATGGTATATTCTTTCCTTTAATATTGGTTCAAGTAGATATATAATATCTTATTCTATGTCAAAATTGCTCCTACATGTGGCATCGCAACATTTTGCCTAGCTGGGTAATTATTGTCATGTTGTCAAAGTGCTAAGAGATATTTAAATGAGATAATGGCTTTAGCAATTGAAATATATCCAGCGGCTTTCGATAGGGACCTCAATGCCTTGGAGAAGGGACCGGCTTATATACAATTGTTGAAGGTGTGACCGCCCAATCCTTTTACATTGTATGTATACAACCAAAAGGCCAAACAGGTACAATTTCACCCGATGCCTACATATGTACATACATATATATTTCATATACTTAAGTATACATAGATAGTTAATACCTTGTGACCGAGGATACTTCCCTTTCTGAATCTCAGATCTATGCTATAATATATATCAAAGAATAATACATACTTAATGGACCGTGAATACATTTACAAATACCAGACACTCCCAGCTAAACATAGACACTTGATTGACAATAAGGACATCAATTGCAAAGACCAAACGCCGACGCTGATGAACCCAATACAAGATACAAGACGATGTCCGAGGTAAAACATAGTAATATGATCCTACCGCAAGAAGTGTAGCACTGCCCAACAGAACAAGAAGAAAATCACCACTCCACCCCAGAAAATCCACTTATCCTGACGCGCTCGCCGCTCAACCATTCGGATTGTATCGCCGCTCACACCAAGCGTGTTCGCAACGCTGTATAGTCGCCGCTGTGTTCCCTTGAGTACTTCACGTTGCTGCCCGAGGTCGGCAAGGACCGCTCTTCCTCGGTCGAGGAAATCATCAAGTTGGTTGTGTGTGTTGGAAAAGAAAGACTGCTCGCGCAGTGCACTGGTTTCGCGGTTATAGTCTGCTGGGCTAGCACCAAAGCCGAGACCCGAGGATGAGGGTGCAAAGGCCGAGGTATTCTGTGGGAGTGAGGACTGCGCATAAGGGTTCTCTGGTGTTGCGGCGTGGTGTGGGCGACGGCCTAGGAGTTCATTGTGGTTGGCAACCGATTGCTGGTATTAGATCAGTATTGGAAGTACCCCATGAAAGAATTGATGAGCACATACTGCATCCTCACGTTCTCTGCGGAGTCGATCGAATTGTGTCCGGTAGTCTGTGAGTTCACTTCGGAAGTTCTTGATGCGGTCGAATGCCTTTTGTTGTTTCTCGGGAATCAGTTCCTTCTTGGAGAGCGCTGAGTAGTCATCGACGGTGCGAGAAAGCGATGCTAAAGAGGCTGCAAGCTGGCCTAGGAGCTTGGAGTCAATAGATTGGATTGTAAAGCGTCAAGTGGTAGGAGCGCACCTTGTAACGCAGGTGAGGAGGTGGTCGGTGACTGTGAAAAGGTGTCCAGATCACGACGGATGGACGATGATTGCTTTAAAGCAGAGTTGAATAGCGAGTTCTGTTTATGTCAGTTGTGTAAACCAATCGCGGGGAACTGCAATATACCATCTTGTCAATGCGGCGAAGGTCCTGTATAGATTGGACTCTTGGATTGCATGTATACCTGAGAATTCGTGGAAAAATGAGGCACTAGGTCTGCTAATAGGATGGGGAAGAGATAATAAGCTCCTGAACTAGTGAATTTATTTCCACACACACAAAGGTGGTCCTCAACTGACCTAACCGGAGGCCAGATGGTCTTGTTTGGGCCCATTCTGACGTATTTCACCGCTTTTAGGTACAATGCATTCTATACCACATCTGGAAGCTCTTGGGATATTCCTAAATTCTGCAAACTCTCTCAAGATATGGCCATTGCCAAACTACAATCTGCCATATAGGTTACAATTGAGAACTTTCAGGGGAAATGATATCGTCGTTAAGATACTGGTACAGTTAATCCGATCCGACTCCATTTTCGCCAAATGAACAGAATGCAAAACCACAGAAGAGCTGGGATGGTATATCAAGACACAAAGCAATCAGGCAACACCAAAAAAAAGAGAGTTAAAACGCCGTACATCTATTTGGGGGGGGAACTTGTTCTGCAAGAACCACCTAGGCGATGGATTAGCATCATTGCCGTGCTCATCAGTCCGGAAATATATGCAATACTTACTTGCTGACAAGGTAGTCCACCGCACCAAACACTCCGACAGCACCGGCCGAGAGTCCGACCAGCTCCCAGGAGAGGTTGCCCCGCGCGTGTTGCCTGTAGGCACCGAAACCGAGGCCTGCGCCGATCACAGTTGCGATGGCGGCATTAGCAAGGAAGACAGGGTTGCAGGAGTTTTCACAGATGCCACTGCTCTTCGCCTTGTGGGCCTTGGCCTTCTTTTTCTTTTCCTCGTCCTCGCGCTTCTCATTCTTCTCGGCTTCACGCTGTATCCGCTCAGCCTGGGTGGTGGTTTGGACATCCTGCTTGAGAAAGTCGGACTCCACAGTTTGCACATGGGGCCCATCAACGTCGATCAACGAGGCCGTACTCTCGGATTCATCGTGGTAGACTCCACCCACAGGGGGAGCACGGCTGGAGTATATACATGTTAGTTGTATGTAGAGAATATTTAATACTTTAAATAACTCACGCCTGTGATTTGTTAGTTCTGTGATTTAAGTATAGGAGCTTGAATACTTACATCCTCAGGGGACTGCTTGGGGCCCTTTGCAGCTGCATCGGCGTAAGACATGTTGCGCGTTAGGTTACTAGAAGGTAATGGTTCTGGAGAAATTCCGGTCAGCAACTAAAACATCTAGAGCAAAAGAAAATATTGTGGGAAAAATTATCAATTACTTACCAGAAACGTGATGTGGAATGAAGGAGTTCAAGGGGAAAAGGAATGATTTATACCAAGGACGCTTGGGGGTGTGACATCATTGACCTGGGCCCACTACCAAGGTTTTATGGGGTTAATTTCCGTAAAGGCTGATCTCATAGATGTATACTCCATACTCTGAACTATGTAGTAGTATATATAACCCTAAAGATAATATATGGTAGTTATAGGAGATTTCTTCTATTTAAATACCTATTTCAAGATGATATAACCCATTTAGGAGAGATCTCATGGTTAGAAATGATCTTGACCCAAGCCATCAGCCACCTACGTTATCAGGTTTCAACACCAATGCGGAAGAAGTCAAGAAAAATCCCATTGAGAGGATTGAAAGCTGCTAAAGAGATCAAAAACAAATGGGACCTATGTAATGGTCTAATGGGGGAGGCAGGGTGTTTTAATACAGATTACAGATAAGTCGGAACGAGAGGCTTCGCTGTTTAGAGCAGAAGCTCCAGAGGGTTCTCGACGACCTTCTTCAACTCCTTGATCCATTCACCACCAACGGCACCGTCAACCACCTTGTGATCGAAGCTACCAGTCACGACGATCTGATCGTCCCACTCGGTGACGGTGCCTTCCTCGGTCTCGACGGGGATAGCGACCTTGCGGGTGGTGCCAACAGCCAGGATACCGGCCTGCGGGGGGTTGATGACAGCTGTGAAACGCTCGACAGCGGCGTTCATGCCCATGTTTGAGATGGTGAAAGTGCCACCCTGGTACTCCTCGGGCTTAAGCTTGTTCTCGCGGGCACGCTTGCCAAGGTCCTTGATCTGCTTGGAGATGCTGGATAGTCCGAGACCCTGAACGTTCTTGACGACAGGGGTGATCAAACCAGTGGGGGTAGACACAGCGACGCTGATGTCAGCGGTGTTGTGCTGACGGATCACGGCCTGGCCGTTCTCCTCGCGCCAGCTGGAGTTAACCTGGGGGACCTTCAGGAGGGCAACGGCGCATGCCTTGACCAAGAAGTCGTTGACGGAAAGCTTGTACTGACCGTCAGCAGAAGCGTTCAGGGCCTGGCGGAGCTTCAGAAGCTTGGTAACCGAGAGAGTTGTGGAGACGAAGTAGTGGGGGTTCTCGGCCATGGACTGCTTCAGGCGGTTGGCAATGGTCTTGCGCATCGAGCTGACGGGGATTTCCTCGAAGGAAGCCTCGGCGGAGACAGCAGTGGTGGCGGGTTTGGCCTTCTCAACGTCCTCCTTGGTGATGACACCACCACGACCAGTACCCTTGAGGCCCTTGATGGACACACCCTTCTCGAGGGCCAGGACCTTAGCAGCGGGGCTGATAGAGGGCTCACGGTCAAGGCTGGGCTGCAGCTTCTCATCCGAAGTCTCGGGCTCTTGTGCAGCGGGTGCCTCCTCAGCTGGGGCCGGGGTTGCTGGCTCGGCGCTCTTGGGCTCCTCCTTCTGCTCAGCGGGGGCAGGCTTGTCACCACCGGCATCGGCCAGGGTGAAAGACTCGAAGGCGGAGACATCAGCAGCGTCCTCAACAAGAACGGCAATAGGCTATAAGAAAGGCAAGTCAGATTTATCAATTCATTTCCACAGAGAAAACCGGGAAATTTCTTACCGAACCAACAGCGATATCCTTCTCGCCGCTCTCCTTCAGAACCTGGGCCAGGACACCCTCATCCTGGAACTCAAAATCCATCTGTGCCTTGTCGGTTTCGATCTCTACTAGGACATCACCGGGCTGGAGGACATCTCCGGTCTTCTTCTGCCACACGCCAATGTTTCCGGCGGTCATTGTCGGCGAAAGTGCCGGCATGGTGATAAGTGTGTGGGGAGGGAAAGCTATAGATAGACATGTTAGAATTGGTTAGGAGGGATAAAGGGATGAATCAATTGTCATACACTTGGAGGCATAGAAGCGGGAAAGGGCAGAGAGCGCAGGCACTTGGGTCCTAGAAACTTCATTAGCATCGACCAGCAACCACAATTGATATCTATTGAACATACTGAATCACCTCCTGGAGTTTGGAGGAGACCTGGGGCCGGCGCATAGCGACGGCACCTCTGGACATGAACATGGCGCTCGGGGTGCGCATCCGAATAGCTGACGCAACCATAGTGCCTGAGACTTGTTGCGATTATAAAAGAAAGAAATAAAGGCCCTTAACGCTGAGATAGAAGTATAAGAAGAGCCCGGCACAGAAAAAACGTGAATGGCCAAGAATGGATAAGGTTGGGGTGGAAAGAGATGGCCTCTAAATCACGAACTTTTCTGTTGAGCTACCTATGGCTCCCGGTGAGAGGAGCGGCAGCGGCCTCTTCCGATATAGTCACGTGTTCTAACGTATAATCTCAAGTTCCGGGTATTTTCGAGGTAAATTGGGACTTTTACACCGCCTTTAGCATACACCTTGGAAAGTATTTGAAAGCGGGATATATCAAGGACATACCTACTGAAGATAACTTTATTCTGATTGTTGTCCTCACTTGCAATATCTCAAAATATTCTACTATGAAGGGTCCATTTCTGTACTTATGCACATATATGTATGAATAGTAGTATGTACATGGGCTTTCTTTGTATAGAACCGGACAATCAACATTCTGCCTGGCAAAAGATGACGGTGAGAACCTTCAGAATCTCCCTGGTGCCAATGTTTTGCTGAGGTAAGCATGCATTAGTCCCGATTCGGAGAAGACACGCAGCCCCCGTCTTTACATGTCATCGCGATTGTTTCAAGCTTCCCCACGTTTGCTCGTTCAATGTTTTTGATCTAATATATCACTCCGCCCGGAGTCTCCTTGACCATGGCGGAAACCGAATCCGGCTCCGAGTCGACCCAATCCGTTGAAATGCCTGAGAAACCCGTCGAGACACTCGGCGTATCTCCTGCAGTACCAAACCCCAATGAGTCGGCACTGCCCGAGCAGACTGAACCACAAGAATCAAACCAGAATTATAGCGAGGGACTAGCCCAGGAGAGGAGAGATGAACAAAAACCAGAGCTGCCGCCTAAAGACGAACCTGAACAAACCGAACCGGAACTCCAAACAGATGGCCCGCCCACGATTCAAGAACCCCCCCGGGAGGACAATGCGACAGAAAGCAGGTTGCGATCGGATTCGCGGTCAACAACTGCTACATTTATGACGCAGCGATCCAGCCCGGTCAGCTCGACGGTCTTTATTGTGACGGCTCTGGAGAACATCGCTGCCTCGCGGGACGCCCGGAGGGACAAAAAACTAGAGGATGCCACACAGGTGGCCATGGCCAATATCAGGCAACCCGATGGGCAAGCAATTGATCCGGAGCTTATTTTCCGTCCTCTGCATCTGGCTAGCAAAGCCCTCAGCATTCCTCTGCAGGTAACTGCGTTGGACTGTATTGGAAAGCTGATCACATACTCCTATTTCGCATTCCCATCCGCTGAGACAGGGAACGACGCCACCCCCCAACAACCCCCACTTATCGAGCGTGCTATTGATGCTATCTGCGACTGCTTCGAGAATGAAGCCACAGCGGTTGAAATCCAACAGCAGATCATCAAGTCACTGTTGGCAGCGGTCCTGAACGATAAGATCGTGGTGCATGGAGCTGGTCTCCTGAAAGCCGTCCGCCAAATCTACAACATCTTTATCTACTCCAAATCCAGTCAAAACCAACAGATCGCTCAGGGGTCGCTCACACAAATGGTTGGCACGGTCTTTGATCGAGTGCGGACACGGATGGATCTCAAAGAGCTCCGAGTGCGAGAGCTAGAAAAGCCATCCTCGACTCTTGATGCATCGACGAGTGACGTGGGTCAAATCTCGGAGGCGCCTTCTGTGTCTGTGTCTGTGGCTGATCAACCCGTGATCAAAGAGCCCACCGCTGAGAAGCTCACCTTACAGAGTTTCGAGTCGCCTAAGGAGGTTACCACTGTCAATGACAATGCGCCGACTACGGTCACGCGCGCCAAACGATCAACAACAAGGTCGATGTCGGGTATCCCCGAGGGGAAAGATGATGATAGCTCGGCTGAGGACGATGTAGACGAGATATATGTCAAGGATGCTTTCTTGGTTTTCCGAGCACTTTGCAAGTTGAGCCATAAAGTTCTGACTCACGAGCAGCAGCAAGATGTCAAATCCCAGAACATGAGGTCAAAACTACTTTCGTTGCATTTGATTCACTATCTCATCAACAACCACACCGCAACCTTTATATCCCCTCTGGCAGCAATCAAGAACAGCTCATCCAGCGTGGATGGGATGAATCTCCTATTAGCTGTACGGCCCCATTTGTGCCTGAGTCTAAGTCGCAATGGCTCTAGCGCCGTGCCACATGTCTTCAAAGTCTGCTGTGAGATCTTCTGGCTGATGCTGAAAGACATGAGAGTTATGATGAAAAAGGAACTCGAGGTGTTTTTGAAAGAAATTTATTTGGCCATTCTCGAGAGGCGTGGGGCTCCTGCATTCCAAAAGCAGTACTTCATGGAGATTCTGGAGAGGCTAGGTGGTGATCCACGCGCTCTGGTTGAAATCTATCTCAATTACGACTGTGACAGAACCGCGTTGGAGAATATATTCCAAAAGTATGTGTTACTGAATTCTTGGTCTTCTTCGACATGAACTAACCTCCTTAGTATCATTGAACAATTGTCCCGGTACTCTAGTGTGCCGGTTGTAACAACATCTTCTCAGCAGCATCAGTATCAAGAACAGCACACTAAAATATCAACTATTGGTTCTGAATGGCATCATCGAGGAACTCTTCCTCCTTCATTGACAAGTGCCCACATTGTCCCTACCCCGCCACCCTCGATGCCTCACATTCCACCGGAATATGGATTGAAGCAGCAAGCTCTGGAGTGTCTTGTGGAGATACTGCGCTCACTGGATAACTGGGCCACACAG